GTGTAGCCCAGCCCCAGCCCAAATCCCACTTTCCACTGTTCCAGAGGGGGTCCCTGAGACCCCAGTGCCCACTCTTCTCCATTTCATCTTGCCCAGGCCCTCAGCCCTGCCTATGACTCATGCTGCCCATTCTTCTGCCTCCTGGGCCTGCTGCTGACTCAGGACAAAACATGCCCTGAACACCTTAGCTACACTGGACAGACGCCCTGGGACTGCGGTACCTCAACTGCCAGTGCCATCTGGGCCAGGCACCTTGCCACCTGGGGCAAAGGTTAGGGGGTCACAGAGAGGACACAGTAGCAACTAGGCTGAGTATTATCATGGTCAGGGTACTTGGTAGCACTGTGGTATCATAGTGAGTCAAGGATCTCAGGGAGAATGGAAATCACAGCAGTCATTGAACAAGGGATGTAAAGGAGCTGAGGGTACAAGTGGGGGTATCACCTCCTGTACAGTGGCCTCCAGGCCTTCAAGTGCCAACTTCACTTCCTGTAGCCCTTGCTCTGCGGCCCTGCATGAGTTCCGTTCCCCCCTCAGCCAGCACCCCCTAAACATCCAGTGCTTGATGCTGGGCCCAGGCCGTACCCTCCTTGAAGAACACAGGGGTTCAGTCAGGCATCCCTTTTCTGCCCAACCTCTGACTTCCACCTCCAGCCTCCTGGCTCTTCACCTGGTTCATTCTGCCTGATGGAGGATGCCTTCAGCTTCGGGCAGCTTCTGGCTCATGGCATCCAGTACAGGGAAAGCACCCTGGATGTGACCCAGCAGAAGAGCAATGCCTACTGCCCCCACCTTGGGGAAGGGGCACTGACAGACCACACCATAACACCAGCTCCATACTTGTGGTGTCCACACCTTTGTCTGTGGGGAAAAGAGTAGGGATCTTAGACCTGAACCCTGAACTCTGACCCAACGAACCCTGACCCTAATCTCTCATTGATCCTGCCTCAGACACAACTATCCAGTGGTGTGCTGGAGGCTTACAAGAGCCAACTGTTGGCCGGGCGCAGTGGCTCACACCTGTAATCCCAGCACTTTGGGAGGCTGAGGCGGGCAGATTGCCTGAGCTCAGGAGTTTGAGACCAGCCTGAGCAACACAGTGAAAACCCATCTCTACTAAAATACAAAAAATTAGCCAGGCGTGGTGGCATGTGCCTGTAGGCCCAGCTACTCAGGAGGCTGAGGAAGAAGAATTGCTTGAACCTGGGAGGCAGAGCCCGCAGTGAGCCAAGATCACACCACTGCACTCTAGCCTGGGCAACAGAGCAAGACTCTGTCTCTAAAAAAATAAGAAATAAAATAATAATAAAAAAGGGTAATCCCAGCACTTTGGGAGGCCAAGGCAGGCAGATTACAAGGTCAGGAGTTTGAGACCAACCTGGCCAGTATAGTGAAACCTCATCTCTACTAAAAATACAAAAATTAGCTGGGTGTGGTGGCGGGCACCTGTAATCCCAGCTACTCAGGAGGCTCAGGCAGGAGAATCGCTTGAACCCAGAAAGTGCAGGTTGCAGTGAGCTGAGATCGCACCACTGCACTCCAGCCTGGGCGACAAGAGTGAGACTCTCTCTCAAAAAAAAAAATAATAATAAATAATAATAATAAGATAAAATTTAAAAAGCCAATTGTTAAATTTTCAGGAATTTTGCAAATAAGTTGTCAAATGGTATGGTAGACTGAAATCAATCATGATAGCATTACTTACATCATGGATATTGATAAATGCTACAAATTCAGTTTCCCCTGACTCACAGCCAGTTGTTAAAAATTTACCCACACAGGCCGGGCGCGGTGGCTCAAGCCTGTAATCCCAGCACTTTGGGAGGCCGAGACGGGCGGATCACTAGGTCAGGAGATCGAGACCATCCTGGCTAACACGGAGAAACCCCGTCTCTACTAAAAAATACAAAAAACTAGCCGGGCGAGGTGGCGGGCGCCTATAGTCCCAGCTACTCGGGAGGCTGAGGCAGGAGAATGGCATCAACCTGGGAGGCGGAGCTTGCAGTGAGCTGAGATCCGGCCACTGCACTCCAGCCTGGGCGACAGAGCGAGACTCCGTCTCAAAAAAAAAAAAAAAAAAAAATTTACCCACACACGAGTGTTCTCACTTGACCCCGGTCAGCCCTGATGAATATTCCTCATTCTGGAAGGAGTATCATGATAGTGTCCTGGATACCCTATTAACCCTGCCCTTGGCTGTGAACAGACATGCAACAAGCAGATATGTATCCATGAGGAAGCGCTGCATGATCTGCACGGCTGCTTGCATATGGGTCACGGTAGTCATGCCCCAAGGTCTCCTTTCCCAATGCCATGTCTCCCGGGCCTGGATACCTGTGGAGCTTACTATGGCCTGGATTTGCTGCAGCTGGTGGGCGTGGGTCAGATGTGGAGTATGTCTCCTATAACCCCACGTCCAAGCCATGGTTTCCTGTGACTCCCCCATGGCTCCCACCCACAGTCCCCCTGGCTCTGTACCTGTTGCTGATGCTGCTCCAAGGCTGTGACTGTATGTCCAAGCTATGGGAGGAGTTGTGGAATGCCAAGACCAGCTCGGTGGGGGAGACCCTAACCCAGTGGCGCTAGAGAAATTAAAGACACACACACAGAAATATAGAGGTGTGAAGTGGGGAATCAGGGGGTCTCACAGCCTCCAGAGGTGAGAGCCCCGAACAGAGATTTACCCACATATTTGTTAAAGGCAAACCAGTCATTAGCATTGTTTCTATAGATATTAAATTAACTAAAAGTATCCCTTATGGGAAACAAAGGGATGGGCCAAATTAATTGCAGCAGGAACATGCCCTTAAGACACAGATCACTCATGCTTTTGTTTGTGGCTTAAGAATGCCTTTAGGCCGGGCGAGGTGGCTCAAGCCTGTAATCCCAGCACTTTGGGAGGCCGAGGCGGGTGGATCACGAGGTCAGGAGATCGAGACCATCCTGGCTAACACGGTGAAACCCTGTCTCTACTAAAAATACAAAAAACTAGCCGGGCGTGGTGGCGGGCGCCTGTAGTCCCAGCTACTCGGAGGCTGAGGCGGGAGAATGGCGTGAACCCGGGAGGCGGAGCTTGCAGTGAGCCGAGATCGCGCCACTGCACTCCAGCCTGGGTGACAGAGTGAGACTCCGTCTCAAAAAAAAAAAAAAAAAAAAGAATGCCTTTAAGCGGTTTTCCACCCTGGGCGGGCCAGGTGTTCCTTGCCCTCATTCCGTAAACCCACAACCTTCCAGCTTGGGCGTTAGGGCCATTAAGAACGTGTTTTAAGTGCTGCAGAGATTTTGTTTATGGCCAGTTTTGGGGCCAGTTTATGGCCAGATTTCAGGGGGCTTGCTCCCAATAGTGGAAGGCAGCAAGAACCCACTGAGCAGTGGGCAGGGTCCCAGGTTGGAGGGAGCAGCCTGTGCCTGCTTCAATACCTGATCTAGGACCTGCAGGTGTCCTCCCTGGCCCCTAACACCCCAACCAGGCATCCCCTAGCATAGGGTGGCCACCTCTTGGGCCACAGCTTCCAGCTGCGGCAGGAGCAGAGCCAGGAATTGGTCTCAGAAGGTGAAGCAGGTGGGACAGGAGGTGTAGTGTGGGAAGGCACCTCTGGAGCCATGAGCACATGCCTGGCACCTCAGCCCTAAGATGCCCTCTCTGCAGAAGCAGGTGCCCATGTGTGAGTCACAGCTGGGCAAGATGGAGCCCTGTGGGTCACAGGCACAGGCTGCAGAGGAGAGATAGGGTCAGGGTGTTGCAGGAAGTCAGGGGCCCCGAAGGGAGGGACTGGCTGAAGCTGCAGCAGAAGAACATACATTGTGAAGATTTCATGGACATTTATTTGTTCCCCAAATTAATACTTTTATAATTTCTTATGCCTGTATTTACTGCAATCTCTGAACATAAATTGTGAAGATTTCTTAGACACTTATCACTTCTCCAATCAATACCCTTGTGATTTCCTATGCCTGTCTTTACTTTAATCTCTTAATCCCATCATCATCTTCGTAAACTGAGGAGGATATATGTCGCCTCAGGACCCTGTGATGATTGCATTAACTGCAAAAATTGTTTGTAGAGCATGTGTGTTTGAACAATATGAAATATGGGCATCTTAAGAAAAGAACAGGCCGGGCACGGTGGCTCAAGCCTGTAATCCCAGCACTTTGGGAGGCCGAGACGGGCGGATCACTAGGTCAGGAGATCGAGACCATCCTGGCTAACACGGAGAAACCCCGTCTCTACTAAAAAATACAAAAAACTAGCCGGGCGAGGTGGCGGGCGCCTGTAGTCCCAGCTACTCAGGAGGCTGAGACAGGAGAATGGCCCGAACCCGGGAGGCGGAGCTTGCAGTGAGCTGAGATCCGGCCACTGCACTCCAGCCTGGGCGACAGAGCGAGACTCCGTCTCAAAAAAAAAAAAAAAAAAAAAAAAAAAAGAAAAGAACAGAATAACAGCAATGTTCAAGGAACAAGAGAGATGAGACTTCTGGCCACCGGTGAGCCAGAGGGAAGAGCCATATTTATCTTCTTTCAAAGGCAAATAGGAAAAATATCGCTGAATTCTTTTTCTCAGCAAGGAACATCCCTGAGAAAAGAATGTGCCCTGAGGGTAGGTCTATGAACGGCCCCCTGAGGGTGGCCGCCTTTTATGGTAGAAGCTGGAGGGATGAAATAAGCCCGGGTCTCCTGTAGCGCTCCCAGGCTAATTAGGATGAGGAAAATTCCCGCCTAATAAATTTTGTCAGACAGGTTGTCTGCTGTCAAACCCTGTCTCCTGATAAGATGTTATCAATGACAATGTGTGCCCAAAACTTCATTAGCAATTTTAATTTTGCCCCATCCTGTGGTCCTGTGATCTCGCCCAGCCTCCACTTGCTTTGTGATATTTTATTACCTTGTGAAGTATGTGATCTCTGTGACCCACACCCTATTCGTGCACTCCCTCCCCTTTTGAAAATCGCTAATAAAAGCTTGCTGGTTTTACGGCTCGGGGAACATCACGGATCCTGCCGACATGTGATGTCTCCCCTGGACACCCAACTTTAAATTTCTCTCTCTTGTACTCTTTCCTTTTATTTCCCAAACCAGCTGAGACGCCTAGAAAATAGAAAAGAACCCGCGTTAACCATCGGGAGTGGGTTCTCCCGATATCAGGGTAGAGAGCAGATGACACTAGTTCTAGCCTTACCTTCGAGAGACCTGAAGGATGGGCCAGGTGCAGTTACTCACACCGGTAACCCCACCACTTTGGGAGGCTGAGGCAGGAGGATCACAGGAGTTTGAGACCAGTCTCAGGAGTCTGAGACCAGTCTGAGCAACATAGGGAGATCCTGCCTCTACAAAAAAAATTTGAAAATTAGCCAGGTGTGGCGGCGCCTGCTGTAGTCTTAGCTACTCAGTGGGATGAGATAGGAGGATCACTTGAGCCTAGGAGGTCGAGGCTGTAGTGAGCTAAGATCATGCCACTGTACTCCAGCCCAGGTGACAGGAGACCCTATTTCTTTTTCTTTTTTCTTTTCTTGTTCTTCTTTTTTTTTTTTTTTGAGACAGAGTCTCTCTCTGTAAGCGATCTCGGCTCACTGCAACCTTCGTTTCTCAGGTTCAAGTGATTCTCCTGCCTCAGCCTCCTGAGCAGCTGGGACTACAGGCACCAGCCACCACACCTGGCTAATTTTTTTTTTTTTTTTTTTTTTTTGAGGCGGAGTCTTCACTCTGTCGCCCAGGCTGGAGTGCAGTGGCACCATCTCGGCTCACTGCAAGCTCCGCCTCCCGGGTTCGCGCCATTCTCCTGCCTCAGCCTCCCGAGTAGCTGGGACTACAGGCGCCCGCCACCGCGCCCGGCTAATTTTTTGTATTTTAGTAGAGACGGGGTTTCACCGTGTTAGCCAGGATGGTCTCGATCTCCTGACCTCGTGATCCGCCCGCCTTGGCCTCCCAAAGTGCAGGGATTACAGGCGTGAGCCACCGCGCCCGGCCTTTTTTTTTTTTTTTTTTAGTAGAGACGGGGTTTCACCATATTGGCTAGGATGGTCTTGAACTCCTGACCTCATGATCCACCCTCCTCAGCCTCCCAAAGTGTTGGGATTACAGGTGTAAGCCACCATGCCTGGCTCATGAGACCCTATTTCTGAAAAAATAAGAGGTCTGTGAGAGGCTAAGGTGGGTGGATCACTTGAGCTCGGAGTTCAAGACCAGCCTGAGCAACATGGAAAAACCCATCTCTACAAAAAATACAAAAATTAGCTGGACATGGTGGTGCACATCTGTAGTCCCAGCTCCTCAGGAGGTAAGGCAGGAGGATCCCTTGAACCTGGCAGGTTGAGACTGCAGTGAGCCAAGATCATGCCACTGCACTCCAGCTTGGGTGACAGAGTGAGAGCCCGTCTCAAAAAAAAAAGTCTGAAGAAGCTGAGTGTGGTGGCTCACGCCTGTAATCCCAGCACTTTAGGAGGCTGAGGCGGGCAGATCACAAGGTCAGGAGATCGAGACCATCCTGGCTAACACGGTGAAACCCCGTGTCTACTAAAAATACAAAAACAAAATTAGCAGGGAGTGGTGGCAGGCACCTGTAGTCCCAGCTACTCAGGAGGCTGAGGCAGGAGAATGGCATGAGCTTGGGAGGCGGAGCTTGCAGTGAACCAAGACTGCACCACTGCACTCCAGCCTGGGCAACAGAGCGACACTATGTCTCAAAAAAAAAAAAAAAGGCCGGGCGCGGTGGCTCAAGCCTGTAATCCCAGCACTTTGGGAGGCCGAGACGGGCGGATCACGAGGTCAGGAGATCGAGACCATCCTGGCTAACACAATGAAACCCCGTCTCTACTAAAAATACAAAAAAATTAGCCGGGCGTGGTGGCGGCGCCTGTAGTCCCAGCTACTCGGGAGGCTGAGGCAGGAGAATGGCGGGAACCCGGGAGGCGGAGCTTGCAGTGAGCCGAGATCGCGCCACTGCACTCCAGCCTGGGCGACAGAGCGAGACTCGGCCTCAAAAAAAAAAAAAAAAAAAAAAAAAAAAAAAAAAAAAAAAAGACTGAAGGATGAGAATGGCCCTGTGCAGGTGCGAGGGTGCACACCAACCCTTGCCTAAGCCACTGCTCAGAACTGCCATGGGCACTGGCATTCACTCTGGACAGAGAGGCCATACTGCATGGCAGTATTTGGGCAGGAAAACAGTACAGGGTTTCAGGGGCTCTACAGCCCCGTCAGGGGTCAACCAGGGTCAAGAGCTGGCAGGCAGGGTGAGGAAAGAGCCACCTGATGTGTCCTTTCTACAGGCATCCCTTGCCTAGCCTTGCTGTTTCCCTTCAGCTGTTTTCATGAGTATTTCTTTAAGTTCTTTGGGGAAACAGCAATAAATGTGCTGTGTTCTCCCTCAGGAAAACCCCTACCACTCCCTTGCTATTCCACATTGAGCAGCCCCTGCAGGGCAGCCCCACCCCTGGCTGTGGAATGTTCAAGTGTCCCTCTCACCTCTGCACTCCTGCTCAGGGTCACCCCAATTCCCATTATGCAACCGGGAGCATGTGCAGCTCCCAAACCCTGCCCAGCAGGGGCACTGACCTGTGACTTGAAGGAAGAAAGCATAGGCTAGTGAGCAGGGCCAAAGACCCTTCTTTGGGAGAGGGAAAAGGACATGAGTACTTAGACATGCGTGGCACACACATACTTGTATTTCCTCCCAGCTGTGTTCCTGCCCAGGGCAGCATCCACACTTGCATTTGGCTGAGAGCCTCTCCCTTTCTGCTTTCTCTGGTGTTGTGGGAAGTCAGGGACCCCGAACGGAGGGACCAGCTGGAGCTGAGGCAGAAGAACATAGATTGTGAATATTTCATGGACATTTATCAGTTCCCCAAATTAATACTTTTATAATTTCTTTTTTTTTTTTTTGAGACGGAGTCTCGCTGTGTCTCCCAGGCTGGAGTGCAGTGGCGTGATCTCGGCTCACTGCAAACTCCGCCTCCCGGGTTCACGCCATTCTCCCGCCTCAGCCTCCCAAGTAGCTGAGACTACAGGCGCCCGCCACCACGCCCGGCTAGTTTTTTGTATTTTTAGTAGAGACGGGGTTTCACCATGTTAGCCAGGATAGTCTCGATCTCCTGACCTCGTGATCCACCCGCCTCGGCCTCCCAAAGTGCTGGGATTACAGGCTTGAGCCACCGCGCCCGGCCTACTTTTATAATTTCTTACACCTGTCTTTATTGCAACCTCTGAACATAAATTGTGAAGATTTCATGGACATTTATCACTTCCCTAATAATACTCTTATAATTTCTTATGCCTGTCTTTACTTTAATCTCTTAATCCTCTTATCTTTGTAAGCTGAGAATGTATGTCACCTCAGAACCACTACTGTACAAATTGATTATAGAACTTGTGTGTTTGAACAATATGAAATCTGATTGTAAAACATGTGTGTTTGAACAATATGAAATCAGTGCACCCTGAAAAAGAACAGAATAACAGCAATTTTCAGGGAACAAGGGAAGATAACCATAAGGTCTGACTGCCTGCGGGGTCAGGCAGAATAGAGCCATATTTTTCTTCTTGCAGGGAGCCTATAAACGGACATGCAAGTAGCAGAAATATCGCTTAATTCTTTTCCCAGCAAGGAATATTAATAATTGATTCCCTGGGGAAGGAATGCATTCCTGCAGGGAGGTCTATAGATGGCCACTCTGGGAGTGCCTGTCTTATGCGGTCGAGATAAGGACTGAAATACACCCTGGTCTCCTGCAGTACCCTCAGGCTTACTAGGATTGGGAAATTCCAGCCTGGTAAATTCTAGTCAGACCGGTTGTCTGCTCTTGAACCCTGTTTCTTGTTCAGGTGTTTATCAAGACAATGTGTGCACAGCGGGACATAGACCCTCATCAGTAATTCTAATTTTGCCTTCACCTTGTGATCTTTATTGCCCTTTGAAGCATGTGATCCTTGTGACCTACTCCCTGTTCATACACCCCCTCGCCTTTTAAAATCCCTAATAAAAACTTGCTGGTTTTGCAGCTTGGGGTTGCCATCATGGTCCTACCAATATGTGATGACACCCCCAGAGGCCCAGCTGTAAAATTTCTCTCTTTGTTACTCTTTCTCTTTACTTCTCAGACCAGCTGACACTTAGGGAAAATAGAAAGAACCTACACTGAAATATTGGGGCTGGTTCCCCAGATACTCTGGCCTGCTCCCTTGGCCAATCTGCACCTTCCCACATTGTCAGCCCTTGCTTCCCACGGACCCTCTCGTTCTCATCTCCTGACCTGTTGCCCTTAGTTTCCTCATGTCCTGAGTTGCATACCCACTGTTTCCATGCCCCTCCTCCTATGCCTCGCTCACTCCCTGAGTCTGACTCCCACCCTTCTCCTTGCCAAGGACACAAGAACACGCTTCAGGCTTCATCTCATTCAGTTTCTGACCACTTTCCTCCTGGAAACACTTGCTTCCCATGGCCATCTTTCTCTGCCTGCACCAGATCTCAATCCTAATCCTCCACCTGTACCTCCTCAGTCTCCTTCTCCTTCCAGCCCCACTCCGTCTCCACCCCTCATCACGCTCACTCTGCTTGCCATGACCTACTCACAGTGGTTCACTCACACACTAGTGCATGGCTGCATGTGGGATTGGGCACATGCAGCCTCGCGTCCATACTCCCCCTACACCCTGAAACCACCTCATAGTTAACGTCACATGAGAGCAGAGACACACACAGCTATTTGCAGCCCCATGTACCAGTACTGGTGCTGGTGGTCACATTCACTCACACCAGCCAGAAGTCACATTGTGTCACAAACAAGTGCAAGTTCACTCACACCTGGCTATGAACACATGCTATGTGCAATATGGGCTTACTCACTGGGTGGCACATTGGTTGCAAAGTGTGTTGAGCATGGCAGCCACAGGGCTTACAGCCCCAGGGATCTCCCAGGTTCCAGAAGAGGGGGGCACAGTGGCTGCAGTCTTGCCCCAGAGTGCAGGGGCAGCACAGGCTTCAGCCCCAGATGGTTACCACATGAGGACATTGTTTCAAGGGTCACAACTGCAGCCTGGGGAGAGGAAGGCTTGGCCAATCTGGGGAGTGAAAATCCCACCCAGTCACCCTGGGATGTCCACACCCACAAATTCATGCTGGAAGCCCTCTGAGCACAGGTCACTGCTGTGGAAGCCAGGCCTGCAGCAGGCACAGCCAGGGACATGGCTGTAGTACACAGAATGCTGGCAGTGCCCACTGTGGGGGTCACAGGCAGCAGGATTATGGAGATTGATATTGCTGCACTGGAAGTACCAGTATGGATTCTTCTGGGGTCTCCTCCTGGCCGGGTGCCCAAAATAGTCACAGAAGTGGTCACAGCTGAGGCCTGGAGAGGACTGGGGTATATGTGTCTTCCTGTACCCTGGGGGCCTGTGGGTCTCAGATACGCAGTCAGAAAGTCTGAGGTCTGGCTAGGGGGGACACAATAGGAAATTATAGCCCATCCTCTTGGCTTTCAAGGTCTATACCTGTAATTCCCCCCATTCAGCCCTCCTTCCTCAGAACAGGAACTCCTTGAAGATGGTGCCCAGCTCAGCATACGGGTAGCATTGGGAAAATTTGTCATGTGGACCTGACGGGATTGTGAACAATTGACCAAGGCTGTGGCTTTGTCACTGCCAACCATGCCTCACCTGCATAGCCAGGTAAACAGAAGAATAGGACATGCCCATCATGCTGTCCACATGGCAGGAACTCCCATGATAGAGGCAGGAATCAGGGTGCCCAGGACAAAGGCAGAGCCAGCACTGCTGGCCCAAGCCTGGAGTGGAGTCTCCATAGTAGTCATCCAAGCACCTGGGAGCAGTAGCACGTGGTATGGGGCCTGTTCAACCCATCCAATGACAGTACTCACTTTTTACAGTGCCAGTCTGTATAGTGCCAGTCTGGCAGGCCTGGCAGATACATATAAGTGGCTGGCACAACTCAGCATGCCCATTGCAGGCAGAGGACTGGCAGTGCCAAAAGCCTCAGTAGCCAGGGAGGCAGCAGTCATGGCAGCAACCAGCAAGTCGTGTCTGGCACATGCACTGCCCATTCACAGGGTTATAGATGGCACTGGTGGTAACTTCAGCACATCAGCGGCACTCTGTGGAGAGTGACAAAGCAATCAAGCCATGCAAGGACAGGAGATAGCTGGCCCCCAACCCCATGCCTACAGGCCCTGAAGGCTCATTACTGCAGCCAGAGGCCCAAAGCCTGCTTTCCAGGCACACAGGGGTCACAAATATGACTAATGATATGAAGATGGCAGGGATACTGCCCACACAGCAGGCCCCACTCAGTGCTCAGTGAACCTTGCAGACGGCACTCACATGCTGGTAGAGGAAGGAAAGATTAAATGAACCTCATGGTGCTCCTGCAACCCGTACCCTGAAGCCACTTCAAGCCTGGCACATACACTCACTGAGGCCCATCCCCATGGAGCAGGGCTGAGATGCTGCAGAACAGGCAGGCACAGCCTTCAGGCATGGTGCTGGAGAGGCCTGGCCTTGCCGCCTCCATGAGCCTGCCTGGTGGAACTCCTGTAAATGCCTGAGGCCCCAGGGTACAAAGACCCCAGCCCAGGCAACGCGTTCACCCGTGGCAGGTGCACAAGCTAGCAAGAGGGTCAAGGGGAGCCAGCAAGAGGCAATCAGCCCCACTCATTAACACTTGCCACCTTTCTTGGATTGGCCCTCATCCAAGAGGAACATCCCTACCCCCACCCCTTGGCGCCCCTTCTGTTTTCTAATCTCTGTTTTTTTTTTTTTTTTTTTTTTTTGAGACAGAGTTTTGTTCTAGTTGTCCAGGCTGGAGTGCAATGCTGTGATCTCGGCTCACTGCAACCTCCACCTCCCAGGTTCAAGTGATTCTCTTGCTTCAGCCTCCGGAGTTGCTGGGATTACAGACACCCACCACCACACCCAGCTAATTTTTGCATTTTTAGTACAGACGGGGTTTCACCATGTTCACCAGGCTTCTCTTGAACTTTGACCTCAGGCGATCCCGCCTTGGCCTCCCAAAGTGCTGGGATTACAGGCATGAGCCACCATGCCCAGCCCCTCAAACCCCTAATCTCTTTTGAGTCAATTTTTCCTCCATCTCCAGTGGCCCCAATCTAGTCGAGAGAATGCCATCTCTTACTCAATCATTTTGGCAGCTTCCATCTGGGCCTTCCGCCAAACAATACATTCTCCCCACATCTCTTCCCTGCTTAAATCTCTTCTATGGTTCCCTGCCTTCCCTGGGATAAAGGTTAAGCCCCTCTCCTGGCCCAAAACGTCTTGCGAGATCTGGCACGTGCCTCATTTTATCTTCTGTCTTTTGCATGAGCTGTTTCCCCTGCCTGGGCTCCTCTGCCTACACTCTCCATCTATGTAGGTCTTAATTCTCTTGCTGCAACTCCAGGCCTCTATGATCCCTGCCTCGCAGCTTCACTGCATCAATCTTGTCTTGCTGTAATTTATGTCTCTGAGCCCGGGCACAGTGGCTCACACCTGTAATCCCAGCACTTTGGGAGGCCGAGGCAGGTGGATCACCTGAGGTCAGGAATTCGAGACCAGTCTGGCCAACATGGTGAAACCCCATCTCTACTAAAAATACAAAAAAAACTAGCTGGGTGTGGTTGTGGTGGTGGGCGCCTGTAATCCCAGCTACTCCAAAGGCTGCAGCAGGAGAATCACTTGAACCCAGGAGGCAGAGGTTGCAGTGAGCCGAGATTGTGCCATTGCACTCCAGCCTGGGCAACAAGAGCGAAATTCTGTTTCAAAATAAATAAATAAATAAACAAACAAACAAGCAAACAGGCCAGGTGCAGGTGGCTCATGCCTGTAATCCCAGGACTTTGGGAGGCTGAGGCGGGCAGATCACCTGAGGTCAGGAGTTCAAGACCAGCCTGGCCAACGTGGTGAAACCCCCGTCTCTACTAGAAATACAAAAATAAAATAAAATAGGCCGGGCACGGTGGCTCAAGCCTGTAATCCCAGCACTTTGGGAGGCCGAGGCGGGCGGATCACTAGGTCAGGAGATCGAGACCATCCTGGCTAACATGGTGAAACCCCGTCTCTACTAAAAAATACAAAAAACTAGCCGGGCGAGGTGGCGGGCGCCTGTAGTCCCAGCTACCCAGGAGGCTGAGACAGGAGAATGGCCCGAACCCGGGAGGCGGAGCTTGCAGTGAGCTGAGATCCGGCCACTGCACTCCAGCCTGGGCGACAGAGCGAGACTCCGTCTCAAAAAAAAAAAATAAAAAAAAAATAAAAATAAAAAATAAAAAAATAAATAAATAAATAAAAATAAAAATAAAATAAATAAAAAAAAATAAAATATAAAATAAATAAAATAAAATAAAATAGCTGGGTGAGGTGGCCGGCACCTGTAATCCCAGCTACTCAGGAGGCTGAGGCAGAAGAATTGCTCGAACCTGGGAGGCAGAGGTTGCAGTGAGTCAACATTGCGCCATTGTACTCCAACCTGGGTGACAAGAGCAAAACTCCATCTCAAAAAATAAAATAAAATAAAATAAAATAAATAAAATTGGCCGGGTGCAGTGGCTCACACCTGTAATCCCAGCACTTTGGGAGACCAAGGCAGGCAGATCACAAGATCAGGAGATGGAGACCATCCTGGCTAACACGGTGAAACCCTGTCTCTACTAAAAATACAAAAAAATTAGCCGGGCATGGTGGCAGGCACCTGTAGTCCCAGCTACTACTCAGGAGGCTGATGTAGGAGAATGGCGTGAACCCAGGAAGTGGAGCTTGCAGTGAGCCAAGATTGTGTCACTGCATTCCAGCCTGGGTGACAGAGCAAGACCTCATCTCAAAATAAATAAATAAAATAAAACAAAATAAAATTTATGTCTCTGAGCCAGGCGCAGTGGCTCACACCTGTAATCCCAGCACTTTGGGAGGCCGAGGCGGTCAGATCACCTGAGGTCAGGAGTTCAAGACCAGCCTGGCCAATATGGTGAAACCCCAACTCTACTAAAAATACAAAAATTAGGAGGGGGGCCCGGTGCAGTGGCTCATGCCTGTAATCCCAACACTTTGGGAGGCCAAGTTGGGTGGATCATGAGGTCAGGAGATTCAGACCATCCTGGCTAACACGGTGAAACCCCACCTCTATTTAAAAAAAAAATTAGCCAGGTATGGTGGCATGTGCCTGTGGTCCCAGCTACTCAGGAGGCTGAGGCAGGAGAATCGCTTGAACCTGGGAGACAGAGGTTGTAGTGAGCCGAGATCACGTCACTGCACTCCAGCCTGGGTGACTGAGTGAGACTCCGTCTCAAAAAAAAAAAAAAAAAAAAATTTAACTGGGTGTGGTGGTGTGCACCTGTAATCCCAGCTACTCAGGAAGCTGAGGCAGGAGAATTGCTTGAACCTGGGAGGTGCAGGTTGCAGAAAGCTGAGATTGCGCCATTGCACTCCAGCCTGGGCGACAAGAATAAGACTCTCTCTCAAAAAAAAAAAAAAAAAAAATTATGTCTCTGCCAGTTGTAGGGTGGAGCCCCTAGGACCTCACTAAATCCAGATGGATGAAGCTTCCCTCAGTCCTCCATACTCCCTTGGTCTACTACAGCCTGTGTCCTGGAGTAGCACCTTCCTGGATCAAAGCAGAAAGTCTGTACAGAACCACAACCCTGTGGAGAATGGGGAGGGGAGAAGAGGTGAGGTGATGCTGAAATGATCATGTGGTCCCAGAGATGCCTCCTTCCTTTTCTTTCTCTGCCTCCCTCCCTTCCTTTCTTTCTTCTCTTTCTTCTTTTTTTTTTTTTTTTGGATGGACGCTCGCTCTGTCGCCCAGCCTGGAGTGCACTGGCGGGATCTCGGCTCAGTCCCGCCTCAGCCTCCTGAGTAGCTGGGAGTACAGGCACACGCCACCACGCTCAGCTAATTTTTGTATTTTTAGTAGGAATGGGATTTCAGCCGGGTACAGTGGTTCACACCTGTAATCCCAGCAGTTTGGGAGGCTGAGGCGGGACGATCACAATGTCAAGAGATCGAGACCATCCTGGGCAACATGGTCAAACCCCATCTCTACTAAAAATACAAAAATTAACCGGGCATGGTGGCATGTGCCTGTAGTCCCAGCTACTCGGTAGGCTGAGGCAGGAGAATCGCTTGAACCCAGGAGGTGGAGGCTGCAATGAGCCGAGATCGCGCCACTGCACTCCAGCCTGGTGACAGAGCAAGACTCCATCTCGAAGTCTCAAAAAAAAAAAAAAAAAAAAAAAAAAAAAAGGCCACGCGCTGTAGCTCATACCTGTAATCCCAGCACTTTGGGAGGCCGAGGTGGGCAGATCACCTGATGATGAGAGTTGGAGACCAAACTGACCAACAGGGAGAAACCCCATCTCTACTAAAAATACAAAATTAGCTGGGTGTGGTGGCATATGCCTGTAATCCCAACTACTCAGGAGGCTAATGTAGGAGAATTGCTTGAACCCGGGAGGTGGAGGTTGCCGTGAGCTGAGATCCCACCATTGCACTCCAGCCTGAGCAATAAGAGAGAAACTCCATCTCAAAAAAAAAAAAAAAGAAAAAAAAGAAAAAAAGAAAGAAAGAAAAGAAAATTTAAAAAAAAAAAAAAGGAAAGAAAGAAAAATAAGGCCGGGCGCGGTGGCTCAAGCCTGTAATCCCAGCACTTTGGGAGGCCGAGGCGGGCGGATCACAAGGTCAGGAGATCGAGACCACTGTGAAACCCCGTCTCTACTAAAAATACAAAAAATTAGCCGGGCACGGTGGCGGGCGCCTGTAGTCCTAGCTACTCAGGAGGCTGAGGCAGGAAAATGGCGGGAACCCGGGAGGCGGAGCTTGCAGTGAGCCGAGATCGCGCCACTGCACTCCAGCCTGGGCAACAGCGTGAGACTCCGTCTCAAAAAAAAAAAAAAAAAAAAGTAAGAAAAATAAATACCCAGATTAGTGCTCATGGCAGTGGCAGCCACAGAGGTGGGGGTGGGATATGCAGAGATTCACCACTGCAGAATACCTGAGGTCACTGCCCAGACCCTAGAACTCGGGCTGTAGGAGACAGTAGTTGGGTTGGGGAAGGCAGGAAGATCTGGACAGGAAGAGGAGGGGAGGGGCCTGAAAAGTTTTTTTTTTTTTTTTTTTTTTTTGAGACAGAGTCTGGCTCTGCCGCCCAGGCTGGAGTGCAATGGCCGGATCTCAGCTCACTGCAAGCTCCGCCTCCCGGGTTCACGCCATTCTCCTGCCTCAGCCTCCCAAGTAGCTGGAACTACAGGCGCCCGCCACCTCGCCCGGCTAATGTTTTGTATTTTTAGTAGAGACGGGGTTTCACCGTGTTAGCCAGGATGGTCTCGATCTCCTGACCTCGTGATCCACCCGTCTCGGCCTCCCAAAGTGCTGGGATTACAGGCTTGAGCCACCGTGCCCGGCCCCCTTCTACTTTTTAAAAAAAGTAATTGTAAAACATGGTCGAGCACTATAGCTCACGCCTGTAATTCCAGAATTTTGCAAGGCCAAAGTGGGCACATAACTTGAGCTCAGGAATTCAAGACTAGCCTGGGCAACATGGTGAAATCCTGTCTCCACAAAAAAATACAAAAATTAGGCCAGGCACAGTGGCTCACGCCTGTAATCCCAGCAATTTGGGAGGCCCAGGTGGGTGGATCACGAGGTCAGGAGATTGAGACCATCCCGGGTAACACGGTGAAACCTCATCTCTACTAAAAATACAAAAAATTTGCTGGGCATGGTGGCGGGCACCTGTACTCCCAGCTACTCAGGAGGCTGAGGCAGGAGAATGGCGTGAACCCAGGAGGCAGAGCTTGCAGTGAGCCAAGATTGAGCCACGGCACTGCAGCCTGGGCGACAGAGCAAGACTTCGTCTCAAAAAAAAGAAAAAAAAGGCCGGGCGCGGTGGCTCACGCCTGTAATCCCAGCACTTTGGGAGGCCGAGGCGGGCGGATCACAAGGTCAGGAGATCGAGACCACGGTGAAACCCCGTCTCTACTAAAAATATAAAAAATTAGCCGGGCACGGTTGTGGGCACCTGTAGTCCCAGCTACTCGGGAGGCTGAGGCAGGAGAATGGCGTGAACCCGGGAGGCGGAGCTTGCAGTGAGCCGAGATCGCGCCACTGCACTCCAGCCTGGGCGACAGAGCGAGACTCCGTCTCAAAAAAAAAAAAAAGGCCGGGGACTCACGCCTGTAATCCCAGCACACTTTGGGAGACCGAGGCAGGTGGATCACCTGAGGTCAGGAGTTCGAGACCAGCCTGGCCAACATAGTGAAATCCCGTCTCTACTAAAAATACAAAAAATTAGCTGGGCATGGTGGCGGGTGCCTGTAATCCCAGCTACTCTGGAGGCTGAGGCAGGAGAACTGCTTGAACCCAGGAGGCAGAGGTTGCAGTGAGCCAAGATTGCGCCACTGCACTCCAGCCTGGGCAACAAGAGGGAAACTACATCTCAAAAAAAAAAAAAGAAAAAAAAAAGAGAAAAAAACTTAGCTGGGCCTAGCGGCATAGGCCGGTGGTCCCAGCTACTCAGGAGGCCGAGGTGAGAGGATCACTTGAGCCTGGGAGGCATAGATTGCAGTGGGCAGAGATGGTGCCACTGCACCCCAGCCTGGGCAACATAGTGAGACCCTGTCTCAAAAAAAAAAATTAATTGTATAACAGTCTCAGGCAGGTCCTTCAGAAGGTATCCAGAAGGCGGCACTGTTATCATAGATGATAGCTCCATGCATGTTACTGCCCCTAACGATCTTTTTCAGTGGGTCAAGATCTGGAGGTGGAAGACGGTGATACTGATGATCCTGATCCTATGTAAGCCTAGGCTAATGTCTGTGTTTGTGTCTTAGTTTTTTTTTTTTTTTTTTTTTTTTTTTTTTTTTTTTTTTTGAGACGGAGTCTCACGCTGTTGCCCAGGCTGGAGTGCAGTGGCGCGATCTCGGCTCACTGCAAGCTCCGCCTCCCGGGTTCCCGCCATTCTCCTGCCTCAGCCTCCTGAGTAGCTGGGACTACAGGCGCCCGCCACCGCGCCCGGCTAATTTTTTGTATTTTTAGTAGAGACGGGGTTTCACTGTGGTCTCGATCTCCTGACCTTGTGATCCGCCCGCCTCGGCCTCCCAAAGTGCTGGGATTACAGGCTTGAGCCACCGCGCCCGGCCCTGTGTCTTAGTTTTTAACAAAAAAGTTTAAAATGTGAAAAAAAAATTTTTTTTAATAGAGAAAAGCTTATCAAATAGGGATATAAAGGAAATATTTTTGTACAGCTGTACACGTTTTAAGCCAAGTGTTATAAAAGCTGTAAAAAGTTAAAAGTCTGTAAGGTAAAAAAACTTCAGAAAACTAAGGTTACTATTGAAGAAGGAAAACATTTGTTTTTATATGTTTGGTATGGCCCGTGTACAGTGTTTATAATCTACAGTACTGTACAGTAGTATCCTAGGCTTTCACATTCACTCACCACTCCTCACTGACTCACCCAGAGCATCCTCCAGTCCCCCAAGTGCCATTCATGGTAAGTGCCCTAAACAGGTGTACCATTTCTCATCTTTTATACCATGTTTTTACTGTACCTTTTCTATGTTTAGATACACAAATACCATTGTGTTACAATTGCCTACAGTTTTCAGTACAGTCACATGCCGTACAGGTTTGTAGCCTAGGAGTAATAGGCTATACCAGATAGTCTAGAAGTGTAGTAGGCTATACCATGTAAGTACAGTCTAGATGTTTGCACAGCGATGAAATTGTGTAATGACACATTTCTCAGAATGTATCCCCATCATTTAACAATGCATGGTCACAGATGGATTATTTATCAACTGTCTTTCTGACTTGATGCCTGCTCCAAGAAGGCAGATACCTTTTCTGTCTGCTTCTCATCAAACACTGCCCAGAAGATGCCCGACAGAGCGTACAGCTCAATGGGTGCTTGTTATATGAACACATAGATAAAGGAATGGGTCCATGGCTCCTCTCCCTGCTCCACACCTTAGGTCCCTTACTAGGATACAGGAGGTCCTCTACCTCCTGTATCTTTCCTCTGCAGGCCTCCCCTCTTTTCTCATCTGAGGTGAAAACAACAGCAGCTTGCAGACCTACCACGAGGGCTCAGGGTGAGCAGCTGGTAATAACTGCAGTTAAGGGGGGCAGGGAGTGCCCAGTGGGTGTAGAGAAAAAACTAGTTCGGCGTTTGTCCTGCTCTGGTACCCTCTTGGCCTGATTCTGGGCTCTCCTACTAGGTTATTGTTATGTGGCTCTCTTATCCTTTAACAAAAGACTTCTTTGTAAGGAAGGTGTTACATCCAGAGATGCCCTGGTGCCACCTAGAGGGAGCTGCAGGGACAAAGGGCAGAGGTCAGGGTCATGAATGGAGTTGGAGGAGCAATGACAGGTAGACCATGACAGGGACAATGAGGAGGGCCCACAAAGTGAAGAGTTATAAGGGGCAGTGATAGGAGTGGAGATGGGGGACAGGTATGAGGAAATGAGGAACGATGATTGGGCCTCACAAAGGGATTCAATAATGGGGCACAGACGGGAGAAATGGAAACTGTTCCCCATGCCAGTCCCTATACACTGGATACAAGTATGGGGAACAGTGATGGGGCATAAATGGGAGGCCACAAAAAGGACTATGAGGGGGCAGGGCTGGGGAATGGCCCTGGGAGACTGCGCTTGCCTACTTGCCCTGTCCCACCAGTGCCCACTCCAGGCAGGGCCTCTTTCCCCCAGTATCTACAAGCTCTGCCCTGACACACAAAGGATACAGGACTGCTGGGGATGATTACCCTGAATCTCAGGGTTGTTTGGGTCCTCTACTGGAATGGCTGGGTCCAGAACTTTGAAAATTACCTGGGAGAAAGAAGCAGGTTTGAGCCTCTTATTTCACCCCAGGGCCCAACCCCCCTTTCTCTGGGCCTGACCTTGCCCTCAGTGGAAGGCTGGATGTCTGAGTAATGCTGGTCACAGACAAGGTCACTAACTCTGTGGCTAGGGGCAGGAGGGATCCCAAGAAAGAGGCTTGGGCAGTTGTAGACAAAATATCTGTACATGTGCCAGGAGCGGCATGGTCCACTGAGTGCTCAAGGAGCACAGCTGCCAGGTGGAATGTCTGGGGAGTCGCCAGGGACAAGCATCACTGGTGGCCATCAAGTAGGGAAGCACAGGGTCAGCACTTGCTAAGCAAGCCTTCAGGATGGGGCACTGGGTCACTGGGAAAGTCTTGAGGTGGGTGAAGTAGAAGGCACCCTCTAGGTCCAGCTGGATGGTGACGTTTTCTTTCTTTTTTTTTTTTTTTTTGAGACGGAGTCTCGCTCTGCCGCCCAGGCTGGAGTACAGTGGCCGGATCTCAGCTCACTACAAGCTCCGCCTCCCAGGTTCACGCCATTCTCCTGCCTCAGCCTCCCGAGTAGCTGGGACTACAGGCGCCCGCCACCTCGCCCGGCTAGTTTTTTGTATTTTTAGTAGAGACGGGGTTTCACCGTGTTAGCCAGGATGGTCTCGATCTCCTGACCTCGTGATGCACCCGTCTCGGCCTCCCAAAGTGCTGGGATCACAGGCTTGAGCCACCGCGCCTGGCCGTTTTCTTTCTTTCTTTCTTTTTTTGAGATAGAGTCTTGCTCTGTTACCCAGGCTGGAGTGCAGTGGTGCGATCTTGGTTCACTGGAACCTCCACCTCCCAGGTTCAAGAGATTCTCCTGCCTCAGCCTTCTGAGTAGCTGGGACTACAGGTGTGTGCCAGCACGCCTGATAATTTTTTGTAATTTTTTTTTTTTCAGACAGAGTCTCACTCTGTCGCCCACGCTGGAATGCAGTGGTGCGATCTCGGCTCACTGCAAGCTCTGCCTCCCAGGTTCACGCCATCCTCCTGCCTCAGCCTCCTGAGTAGCTGGGACTACAGGTGCACGCTGCCACACCTGGCTAATTTTTTGTATTTTTAGTAGAGACCAGGTTTCACCGTATTAGCCAGGATAGTCTCGATCTCCTGACCTCGTCATCCGCCCACCTTGGCCTCCTGAAGTGCTGGGATTACAAGCGTGAGCCACTGCTCCCGGCCTTGATGGTGACTTTTTTTGTTTTTTTTGAGATGGAGTCTTGCTCTGTTGCCCAGGCTGGAGTGCAGAGGAATGATCTCGGCTCACTGCAACCTCCGCTTCCCGGGTTCATGCCATTCTCCTGCCTCAGCCACCTGAGTAGCTGGGACTACAGGCACCTGCCACCACGCCCAGTTGATTTTTTGTATTTTTAGTACAGACGGGGTTTCACCCTGTTAGCTAGGATGGTCTTGATCTCCTGACCTCATGATCCACCCGCCTTGGCCTCCCAAAGTGCTGGGATTAAAGGCATGAGCCACTGCGTCCAGCTGATGGTGACATTTTCGACACCTGCAGCCATAGGGCTAGTGACCAGGCCCTGATCCCCACACCTCCACACATGGGCACACTGCACTGTCACTACTCTCTGCCTGCCAGGTCTTGTTGCCACCATGGCCACTACGGGAGATTACGTTCTTAATGTCATGGCCTCCCTGGTCGCAAGAGTCACAGAGGTAATTCTGAGTCCTGGGTTAGGACTCAAGGAAACTGACTAGACAGCTTAATGATCAGACCTCTACTCTAAAATTTCACAGCACAGGTTTCTCCTTCTAGCTCCCAGCAATGACCCAGACCCCCAACAGGGCTGAACCAGCCCAGGACACCCAAAGAAATCAGTCTCCAGAGCCCTCACCTGCAGTTGACTGCCAATGAAGTAGGGCTCGAGGCCTACTGGATGAAGTTTGAAGACTCTGGCTCTGGCCCCATTCAACAACCAGGATGCTGATGCAGCCAGGTCGGGAAAGGATATCTGGCACTCCATAGGAAACTGCTCTAGGAGCCTGGACTAGCAGGGGCAGGGTCTGACCAGAGATCCCAGGAATACCCAGCCCCCTCCACCCCACCCCACAGGGAACCTTGATTTCTTTTCTTTTTTTTTTTTTTTTTGAGACAGTCTCACTCTGTCGCCCAGCCTGGAGTGCAGCGGCGAGATCTCAGCTCATTGCAAACTCCACTTTCCAGGTTCAAGTGACCTTCCAGCCTCAGCCTCCCAAGTAGCTGGGACTATAGGCGTGCACCACCACGCCCAGCTAATTTTTGTATTTTTAGTAGAGACGGGGTTTCACCATGTTGGCCAGGCTGGTCTCAAACTCCTAACCTCAACTGACCCACCTGCCTTGGCCTCCCAAAGTGCTGGGATTACACGCGTGAGCCCCAAGCTAGGCTGCCCTTGAGGAGCTGAGTGTGGCTCTCAGGTCACTCTCCATATTCACATCATGAATGAAAAGAGTTGTCAGAGGCAAGTAGCACGCAGGGTAGTGGGGCAATAGCACAGCTGGGAGCAAGGTCCCAGAGCTTGGAAAACCAAGGGAGGACACACCCAGGGGAAGCATGCCACAAGACGCAGAAGGGGCAGGAGGGCACCAAGAAGCACAGAGCTCCTCCAAAGGTCCATCACCCAGGGCAGCTGGCAGGTTGTGGGGCCCAAACCCAGAAACAGAAACCATCTGATTCTCACTCAAATGATGTCCCTAACCCAGGGAGGGGAAATGTGTACCCCTCCCTGCCCACTCCAGGCACTGCCATTCAGCCTGGGCAGCCAGCGATGGACTACAGATGGGCAGGACAGTTACCTCCTTCAGGTCCCAGGACCCAACCCCCTCTCTAAAAAGCAGGAAGGGTGACAATGTATTTTAACATATGGACCATGTTGGAGGGCATGATGAGGCTGGACCTAGGAATAGAGAAAGCTCTTCAAATCCAGACAGAAAGCACTGCTGATGAGGCAGTCATGGAAAACCTCACCCAACCAAGGAGAAAATTATTTGGTCATTGAGGGCAACCTCTGTGGTCCTGACTCAACCACCAGTACCTTGCCACCAATCAAAGTTCAGGATAGTTACTCTCTCCCAGGAGACCAGAGAGGGAGAAGCACCTCAACCCCTTTGGGCCTGGTCCCAAACCAGAAAAGCCCAGGCTAAGCCCCAAGATTTTAGCCAGGCTGTCTGTTTGGTCCCTAGGGAGAAGTACCACAAAGGCTCCATTCCAGGACCTAAAAACCCACTAGCTGCAAGGTTCCCCATGGAACCTACTGTCCTACACAGGGCCTGTCTGGATCACAAACCAGAGCAGCCTCAAAGGGAAATGTCTCATTTCATAGCGGCTCTGCTCCTGTCTTCAGGGGATGCCTCTCAGACACCCACAGAAGCCAATTTCCCCTCATGTCTCCAAAGGGGCCCAGGAGCTGCCTCCTCCCACAACCCCCAGAAATAGGCATACCTATTTCTGGGACCTTTTTCCCTATACCTTCAAGCTGGCCTGCCAGCAGCCACACATACAAAAAAGACCATGGAGGGTGGGCAGGGAGACTGGAAGGTGGAAAGGTATAAAACGTGATAGATGGAACAGTAGACATACAACTTGAATAACAAGTCACAGTGCATCGCGCCATGAAAACACCCCTCCCACCCACCCACCCCACCCTAACCCACCCCCTCCAGTTTCTGAAAGGAGGCTGGTGGTCACAAGGGCCCTAGAGAGGTACCCGGAGTCCTCAAGATTGTGGAGTCCACGGGCATAGCACACTGTACCACTGGCCACACAGACAGCTGGGCTCAGTTTCCCCAAACATTGCCGTGTGAAGGAATCAGACTGCTGAATGTGGCAGCAATGGCTGGAGCCGTATCTCAGGTGACAGGTTCACGCGGAGAATCCGCTGAGCCCGCTGCCGCACCTCATCATCGGAGGACCGCCTATCTACCTTTATGGCACGGAACTTGAGCAGCTTTGCTGTTCCAGGCCCTAGCCATGCCTTAGGAGATCGGGGCCCAAGCCGTGTTCTCTTCTTGGGAGGAAGATCTTTTGCCTCCTCAGCCCTTTTCCTCTTCTGCCCAACAGTCTCAGGGCGGTATTTCTGGCCCTTCCTTGTAGTTCTGGTCTTAGCAGACCCCTTTGGCCTGCCCCTGCCCCTGGGCTGGGTCCGAGCCACCTTGGCCTTGGCCCGTACTGCCTTGGCTTTAGTCTTGGCCTTGGCCCGTGCTGCCATGACTTTGGCCTTGGCCTTGACCCGTGCTGCCTTGGCTTTGGCCTTGGCCTTGACCCGGGCTGCCTTGGCCTTGGCCCGGGCTGCCTTGGCCTTGGCCCGGGCCTTAGCAGCCTTGGCCTGTGTTCGAGCCACCCTGGCTTGGGAACGAGCAGCTTTGGCCAGTGTTCGAGCTACCTTGGCCTGGGCTGCTTTGGTGCCCAGGGCAGAGCCCCCTTTCATTCGCCGGACACTGGGGGACCCAGTGGCTCTGTTGGTTTTGCTCTGGTGCCCAGAGCCTCGTCGGGGTCCAGCCCCAGGGCCTTTGCGAGTCAGACACTTGGAGCCCTTGCTTGTGGTTTTTCTGGGAGCTTTGGGCCGGGGGTTCCCTGGACCCTTCCCTGAACTTTTCCGCAGTTTCAGAGGAGAGTCTGCAAGTGAGAGATGCAGTGACTGTGCCTTGTGCTTGGCACCCAAGCAGGGCATTGTAGTCTTGAGTGGAACCAGGGCCTCAAGGACAACAGAGAGCCGCATGGCAGGGTAGACACCTGGATAAAGGTGGGTGGGGAAGCCCACTGCTGCGCCCCGGGCATGGCTGGCACTTGATTGCTTCAGAGAGCTCAGCAGCAGGTTGGTGGTAGCATGCTTGGCAAGGGCTGGTGTGGACGCTTTAGCCAGCCTACCAGATAGTGGCATGGGAAGCAGTGTGGCCCGACCTGCGGGCAACCGCATGGCAGTTCGGGGAGCACTGGCTGGAGGTGATGTGGCAGTTGGGTTAGGGGCACGAGCTTGCAGTTTCGTCTGGCTTGGGGGATTAGCTGTGCATGAACTATAGCCATAGACATCACCACTGCGCAGGATGGTAGGTTGGAAGCCATCATCTCGCAGGCCCTGCAGGAAGGCCACAAGCTGGGCCTCTGTGGCACTGAGATCCTGGCTCATGGGGTTAAAGACAAGCAGCGCCTCTTCCAGGGCCTTCTTCCCAGCCGTGGAGATGCGCGACCAGGAGTGCACAGCTTTTTCCTCCACATGCTGAACCACCACACTCATGGCATTAGGCACTGCAGATCTGCCTGGGTATCCACAAACCAGCGCTTGGCACCTCCAAGACAAGAGGAAAAGAGTCAATAAGAATGGCACTAAGACAAGGGGCCAGAACACATAGACAGGTCAATCAGTGCCCCAATCTCCATGACACTGAGGAATCTGGCCAGAGTGAGACACTTCCTGGTGTAAAACACTGGTCTCCTGACCCTCTACCATGCTGGGGTGGGAGGAGAGGGTAAGGGTCAGGGAGCTTCTTCAAGATACACACTCAGAAACACCTCAGAGCCATCCAACCTGCTGCCGGGTCCCTGAAAAGATTTGAGCCTGGTACATTTTAATTCAACTCTGTATTTTCCGAGGCCAGAAACCTAGAATTACTCAGCTCTGGGAATACAGGCAATATCCCTGTCCTCAAGGAACCCAGGCTAGAAGGCAAGAAAAATACACCATTAAGATTCTTGGGAGTGAATGCTGGCACTCAGCTCAGTTTGCCAATGGGTCAGGAAAGGATTCCTGAGTGAGTTAACACCTAGCTAGGATATGATGAATGAAAAAGGATCAGATGGAAATGGAGCAAAAAGGGGAATAGCTAAAGCAATGGCTCCAAAGTGAGAAAGAGTTAAGGTATACTTGGTGTGGGATCTGGGATCTAGGTGAAAAAACAGGCGAGGATAGAACAACAAAGAACCTTGAATGTTAGCCAAAGGGCCCAGACTTACACCCACTGCCCATGCCCATCTGTTTCTCCAGCTGCTGCTGTTCATGTGTGGAGCTGGACTGGGGTGGGGGAATCTCCCTGCCCACCAGAAGTTCTGTTTTCAGTCTCCAGACAGGGTACTCAGCAACCCATTTTCTAGCTCCAGAGGCATGGAGACCAAATCCAGGGAAAGAGTCGGATTTTTCTTCAACAGAAACTAGAAAGCTGACGAGTAGCAGGTGCCAATGACATCTCCCTAGGCAACCAGGCAGACCGGGGACCAGGCAGCCAGACCAAGAACCCAAGGTTTAAGGACAATGGGAGCCAAAGGCTGCAAGTAGGATGGTGAGTCAAGGGGACATTCGCGGTGTGAACTGTCCTACCTAAGACTTGGAGGGCCACAGACCTCAGTACAGCCCAGATGGAGGTGACTGAGAACATCCAACTAGTTCCAGACTTCTTTAAGAAGCTGTGGCCATCAATCATAACATCTAATACCCAACCTAACACTGAGGGCTCCCAGAAGCAGGAGGCAGCTCCCCAGCTGCACCAGAGCATTAAAAGATCAGCCAGGATCAGGCAGGTCCCTCGGGCCATGAGGCCCTTGGGTGTGGTTTCTTCCCACCGCTCTAATGCAGCAGATGAAGTCTTCAGAATACCCTGGAGGAAATGCCCTGGGGCTCTTTGTTTGGAAACATTCTTGGATCCTCAGGTGTCTTGGGCACTTCCCCACCCCAGAGACCGTTCTCCAAGCACAATCCTTGCACATGACTTTAGTTCTTTATTAATATTTTTTGAGGGGATGTAGTTCCCAGAGCTGTGAACTGTAGAAGAGAGAGGGACCTATTTCCCATCCTCACACGCTCCCCGACGCAAATATTTGGGGTGACCTGGGGGATCTTCCACGCAAGTTAGGCTGGGCTCTTGGGAGGGGTTTTCTGGGCTTTCGAGAAGCTTCGGAAACAGAGGCTGCTGCCCGGCTCCCGACTTCCCTTCACACGTGCCCCCGGGGGAGGCAGGAGAAGCTGACGGAAGATAGGGGGTGAGAGAGTGAGAGAGGCGCCATACAGGCGGAACGGGGGAGGGGGCAGATCGGGGCTCTCAGGCTGGGAGTGCGCGTCCTTAGGGCCCAAGCCGTGAGGCGGGGGTCACTGAGGCAGCGAAATGTACAGGGTGAACGATACTAGCCCGACCGGGACCGCGCAGCCCCAGGGTGGGGTCGCTGGGCGCGGGGTGGGGGTGGGGTGGGGGGTCTCGGCCAGGCCGGCGGAGGACGCGGGTCCGGGAAGAGTCGGCCGCTTGCCCGTCCGCCCTGCCGCCTCGCGGGCTACCCCTCCGCGGCGCGGCTAGGCCCGCGGCTCCAACCTACCGGCGCCGCCGCGGGGACCCAAGACGCGCCTCTGCGCCGCCTCCGCTGCTCCAACATGGCCGCCCGCTGCGCGCCGGAAGTGTACTGCGCTTCCGCTTCCGGGACCCAGCCCGCCCTAATGACCCTTGACCCCCGAGACCCCATTTCCCCCCAAAGTCTGGGGGCGGAGCAGATTGGGTACCAAGGAGGACTGCCTGGAGGTGGTGGCCGCGGTGACCGCTCCAAATCCGTTCGGCCCTGTGCAGAAAGCTGAAGAACAGAGGTGCCCTCTGACGTGGCCCCAGGCAAGGACTCACTACAGCCCGGCTAAGGCTGGATTAGGGGTCATCTGACACCTTTTCTGAGGGGAGCTGGTGGTTCATTGACATCTGGGAGGGGCTCCTGGCAAGGTTCGGGCCATCTTCCACCCTCTGATCTTCCTTTAGCCACTGACAATGCCCACTTCAGTCCAAGACACCTGACCAGAGGGTGAAAGAGGAGTGCCTCCTGACAGGGAGTTTGTTTTGCAGTAAGGGTATCTCCTCCAAGGACAGCAGGCCTTCCTCTCTTCCTGAGAATAGGGCCCATGGCACATGGCATGAAAGGCTGGTGTGCACGTGATCACAAGTGGTGCATGCAAGCCCAAATGCATACCGAGTCTGGGAGCTCCAGTATACCACTGTGGGCCTGAGTATACTTGCTCAGGCAGGTCAGGGCAGGTATAGTCATTGGCCCAGCCTCAGCCCCTCAATGGAAGGAAGTCCTGCCTCCAGTCTTAACACTGCTCAGAACCCCTTTCCTTTTGCCTAGGAGTCTGGGACCTCAGTCTTTTTACCCGTGCTCTTGGGCTAGTACAGGGGTGGTGGTTATAGGATACAGGTCAAAATCAACTCTAGGGGTCTGTGAGTTCAACGAGAGGTCAGAGTGGTCTCCACAGCTCTGACTGAAGGTCCCATTAGTCACAGGTTCCCAAGTCCAGGTTGGGAGCCATCCTGGGAGCCCTGGTTTCATGGATGAGGTAGTGGGAGCATTTGAACTAGGGTCAGAGCCTGAGCCAGGAGGCAGAAATATTGCCACAACTCTTGGACCTTGACCCTTGCAGTGGTGCCTTATTTGGTAGTTAGGGTCAGGTGGAAGCCTATTGGCAATCACAGGAGGGTGGTGGTATGCTTCATTTAGGGACTGGGTACTAGCCCTTTCTCCTGCCCATGTGACCCCAGGATCCTCTAGTTGCTCTGTATTTTCCCTGCTTATACAGAGGGGTCCAGGCACTCCTAAAGACAAGTGTCTAGTTCACCCAGCAGTGCCATAGGCCTCATCTGGTGCCTCTTAGCTTCCCAGAGCCTCAGCACTGATGGTGAGGTCCTCGGTGCCTTTAAGTGTAGCCAAGGTATCTAGCAGGAACTGCAAAATCTCCTGTTCCTCTGGGGTCAGTGCTTCTAGCCTTTTTTTTTGCTGGTGGAAAGAAAGGAAGAGTAGGGTCCCAAGGGCCAGGGTCTCATGGGGTGCAGTCAGGAAGCCCCATCTTGGCACCCCCAGTCCCCAGCTGTGGGTGAGTCCAGTCTCTGGCCCTGTCCATGGTTGAGGATTGACTGTTCACTCTCTCAGGACCGATTCAACCAATTGCCTTGTACAGCTTCTCCAAAGCCAGCAGTGTTGGCCTCCTGTGTGCAGGTGGGCATGGCTGTGCAAACAGGAACCCCTTCCATAGAGAGTGAGAGCCCATCCTCCAGGGATGACACCAGTGCAAGTATATCCAGACCTCTCTCTGGTGATGTTCAACTCAGAAGTTAGGGCAAATGGAGAACGAGGAAGGGTAGGTCCAATCCTCTGGCTCTGCTGTGTCCCTCCAGACATGAGAACTGGGGAAATGATAGAGATTAGGGGTAAGGATCATGGGGTACCTAGCTCCCTTTGGGGGTGGTAGGGCCTAACTTTTTGCCTCCTGGTGCCCAGTATGCCCTAGATGGAACTCTTTGGGAGCACTCGTCAGAGTGCAGTCTGACTTGACCTGGACTCTAGTGGATGCTGAGCCTACAGGCACAACTGGGATCAGACGGGATGAGATGAGAGAGAACACAGGGTGATCCCAGGACCCAGTCCTTGCTTTCCATTTGGCATCTTATATGGTTCTTTTTTCCTTCTTCCTTTTTTTTTTTTTTTTTTTTTTTTGAGATAGAGTCTCTTTTGTTGCCCAGGCTGGAGTGCAGTGGCACGATCTCAGCTCATTGCAACCTCTGCCTCCCCGGTTCAAGCAATTCTCCTACCTCAGCCTCCAGAGTAGCTGGGACTACAGGTGCCTGCCACCATGCCTGGCTAATTTTTGTATTTTTAGTACAGGTGGGGTTTCACCATGTTGGCCAAGCTGGTCTCAAGCTCCTGACCTCAAATGATCCCAAATGATCCACTCACTTTGGCCTCCCAAAGTGTTGGGATTACAGGCGTGAGCCACTGCACCTGGCCAATGTTTTGTATTTTTAGTAGAGCCAGGGTTTCACCACGTTGGCCAAGCTGGTCTCGAACTACTGACTTCAGGTGATCTGCCCACCTCAGTCTCCCAAAGTGCTAGTATTACACAAGTAAGCCACCTGCTCCTCCAGCCTCATATGGTTCTCAGTGGATCCTGGACCCACCTCTGTCTGAGCAGAGAGATCTGATGGAGATCTAGATGTGAATGAAGGCAGTGGCTTGGGAGGTATTGCCTCAAGAGGAAATATGTGTGCCAGGGAGAAAAGCCAGGGTTGAATCTTGAGGATCCAATTCCTGGTGATGGAGAAGAAGCAGAGCCTGCAAAAGATTCTAGGCCGGGTGCAGTGGCTCATGCCTGTAATTCCAGCACTTTGGGAGGCCGAGGTGGGCAAATCACGAGGTCAAGAAATTGAGACCATCCTGGCCAACATGGTGAAACCCCGTTTCTACTAAAAATACAAAAAATTAGCTGGGCGTGGTGGCACGTGCCTGTAGTTCCAGCTACTCAGGAGGCTGGGACTACTCTGGAGAATCGCTTGAAACCACTGGAAGGCAGAGGTTGCAATGAGCCGAGATCGTGCTAAAAAAAATATATATGTATATATATATATATATATATATATATATTTATCTGAGAGGTGGGCTGGGCACGGTGGCTCACGCCTGTAATCCCAGCACTTTGGGAGGCCAAGGCGGGCGGATCACGAGATCAGGAGATCGAGACCATCCTGGCTAACACAGTGAAACCCTGTCTCTACTAAAAATACAAAAAAAAAAAAAAATTAGCCAGGCGTGGTGGCGGGCGCCTGTAGTCCAGCTACTCGGGAGGCTTACGCAGGAGAATGGCATGAACCTGGGAGGCGGAGCTTGCAGCAAGCCAAGATCGCACCACTACACTCCAGCCTGGGCGACAGTGAGACTGTGTCTCAAAAAACAAAAAACAAAAACAAACAAAAAGGATTCTGAGAGGCAGGACAAGCAGCAGGAGGAAGTTGAGGTCACAAGGGGCAAAACTTTGAAGATGCTAGCAAGATTTAGTTAAGGACCACAGGCACATATAGTTTTAGCTCTATGGTATTCCATGATGACTTTTCCAAGAACAATTTTTTTTTTTTTTTGAGACGGAGTCTGGCTGTGTTGCCCAGGCTGGAGTGCAGTGGCCGGATCTCAGCTCACTGCAAGCTCTGCCTCCCGGGTTCACGCCATTCTCCTGCCTCAGCCTCCCGAGTAGCTGGGACTACAGGCGCCCGCCACCGCGCCCGGCTAGTTTTTTTTTTGTATTTTTTTTTTTTTTTTTTTAGTAGAGATGGGGTTTCACCGTGTTAGCCAGGATGGTCTCGATCTCCTGACCTCGTGATCCGCCCGTCTCGGCCTCCCAAAGTGCTGGGATTACAGGCTTGAGCCACCGTGCCTGGCCTCCAAGAACAATTTTTGGGGAGGAGTGGCAGCACACTGAGGTGGCAAGTAACAAGAAGGTGGAGGCTGTGAGGACAGATGGCTTCAAGAGTTTGACTGGAGGGGAGGAAGGGGAGACTAGAGGGACTTGGGGTGTTGGGAGGTATCTAAAGGCAAGTGGCTTGTAAGTGCTTAATTGCTGGAAAGTAGGGGGAAGGAGCTTGGAAAGGGAACAGTAGCAAATGTGAAGGGGACTGCAGGGCAGTGTGAGCCTCTTGGAAGCCTATTGGCAATCACAAGAGGGTGGCAACAGTGCCCCCAAGTGAGGGCACTGAAGAGCAAGTCCAAGGTGAAGTGGGACAAGGAGAATTGAGGCCTTCAAGTCAGGGTCTGTGCAGTCTGTAACCAGTCTTGGCACCACCATTTCTGTGCAGGCCGACTGGATCCAACTGACAGTCCCTGAAAAGGGCGAAGGCTCTCTTCTCTGGTCATGGGGAAGGGTCTACCCATAGACTTCTGGGAAGGCCAGATGTGAGGCAGGCCAGGGAGTTAATAGGTAATGCCCCCAAACAGCTCTCAACCCATGACTAATGGAGATTTGAGAATGAGTACCTCAGCTCCCCTTGCTCTTGGGGGCAGCAATAATGTAAGGCCTATGTTCTATGCAGGCTCCCAGAATCCCCAGCAGGATTTGGTCCCAATTGCCCACAGTGGTAGCTTGCTTGATGACACTTCCTTTATTGGCTGCTTTCCTTGTCTCCTTGCCACTGCTGGTGTTTCTTGGCCTCACCTCCCATACTAACTATATGCATGTATATCTTTGTCCAGGTCTACTTTGGGGGAACTAAGATAAGCACTGTCCATGAAAGGGGGACAAGGCAGTGAGCAGACACAGACAACTGCAAGGACCTCTTCCCACAGGTACCACTGACCTGTACAAATGGGCCCCCAGCTTGAAGACTTAGCTAATAACTGTGAATGCTCAGAAGATAGGCAGGGCCAAGGTCTGGGCCTGATATAGGTGGGCCCCTGTCACACCAGTTTGCTCTTGCTTGACCCCAGAGTTGGTTAGAGGCAAGCCCAGGATCCTAAACATGTATAGTAGCCCAGGTCTCTCAGGCCCTACAGGATAAGGCCAGAGTGACCCACTTGGGAGGTCCCCTGGTCTCTGACTCTTCCAGCACATCCTCTGCTCAGTATCACTCCCTCCAGGAATTCTCCCCACCCAGGTTTGTAGAAGGGTCGGTACTTTCTGTTCCTCCACCCCCGCTAGCCTCAGTGTACACTGTAAGACCTATTCCTGCTTTATGCCCAGGTAAGGGCGACCCAGGCTGCCCCCACATGACAGAGGCCCAGGCCATGCCCCCAGTGGCCTCCAGGGGGCGCCGCCGGGAAGCCTGTCATTGGGCTCCTGGGAGCTCAGCGGAGGTGGGCAGGCGCCGGCCCCCCAAGCCCTCGGGTTCGGCTGGCGTGCTCTACACAGCCTGCGCACCCAGGCTGGGTAGGGCTCAGAACTGCCCCTTGCCATACACGTGTTGTGTCGCTCGCCGCTGCCTCATTTCTACTCCTGCCCGAGGTCGGACGCTAAATTCTGTCAGGCCCAATGTCCACGTGTCCGTTTATCTGTCCGTTTGCGTGTGACCGTGGATCGGCACGCCCTGCTCCAGCTGCGGCATGTGCAGGGTTAAGGCGGGCGGAGGTTTCTCTGAGTCGCAGGGGGAGGGGGGCGAGGGGCGGACCTGGCCCAGCCCCGCCCCGCGCCGGAGCAGTGCCGGAGCCCCACCAGAGCCCGACTTCAGCCCCAGCCAGATCCAGCGTCAGCGGAGGCCGAACGGCGGACCCCTTGCCCTAGCTGCATTGGAGCACCGGCGGGTGAGTCCCGCGGGAACCGCGCTCAGGGGAAGTTTGGGGCGCGGGGTGTAGCACCCCAAGCGCGTTAGCCCAGACCCGCCCACCACATCCTTGAACTGGAAGTTTGGGGCCAGGAGGCCCTCCTGCCAGGGGTCCAGGAGTGTAGCCCTCAAGAGAAAGGGGTGGCTGGAGAACTTGGGGATCTGCTGCGAGGGAACCCAGAAGTCCAGCTGCCCATTCCTGCTGGAAACGCCCTGAACTCGGACCCTGGAGTCCTGTGGTCATGAGATTCCCCCAACGGCCCCCCCATCCCACTTCTGGACACCAGGAAATCTGGCTTCTGGGGGGTTTGGAATGGGCAAACTCCTGTGGGGGACCTCCAGAGGAGAGTGTAGAACCCTGGTGTGCAGTCCTTCCCCTAGTCAGAAACACAGCCTGACTCTGGCCTTTTACTGGTGGGAATAGTTTAACCCTGTGGAATGGCCCCCAGGATGTTGTAAGGATACTCTGGAGTCTGACCCCTGACAGTAGGCGTGGGGACCCCTAGGCTGCCCAGGGCACTCTGGAAGCCAGTAAGGGGAGGATATAGTAGGACTCCCCTCATGCAGGACCAGTGTGAGGCTTGTTGAGGGGAAAGGAAGGGTCCTGGATGGAGAGTCCTGTTCTAATCACCTTACTACCGCCCGCCTAGACCCAGATTTGACCCAGTTGCTGAGTGGTTAGGGTAGTGGGTGGGAAGCAGAATCCTTCATGCCCCAGTGGGAAAGGGGAAAAGCTCCTGGGTACCTGGGGTCTACCCTCCTTCCCACTCCAGGAGGGCCTCCACAGTGATGTACTAGCCAGAGGGGTTGGGTTCTCCCCCTGCCTTTCCCACCAGTGATTTTGGGCTAGCCCTGCCCTCAGCTATGGGCTGCTTATCTGTTTCCTGAGGGGATGGTCAGTGGCCCTGACCCCTGTTTTCCCTGTTTCCTCCAGGTGAAGGCAAGCTCCCTGGACTGGTCATATACCTCTTGTGGCCCTGGCAGAATCAAGATGAGGCCCTGTCATGCCTCCCCAGTGAGGCCTACAGTCTGAGCAGACAGCATGGCCTGCCATTGGCAGTGAACACCATGTCTGCAGGAGGTGGCCGGGCCTTTGCTTGGCAGGTGTTCCCCCCTATGCCCACTTGCCGGGTCTATGGCACAGTGGCACACCAAGATGGGCACCTGCTGGTGTTGGGGGGTTGTGGCCGGGCTGGACTGCCCTTGGACACTGCTGAGACACTGGACATGGCCTCGCACACATGGCTGGCACTGGCACCCCTGCCCACTGCCCGGGCTGGAGCAGCTGCGGTAGTTCTGGGCAAGCAGGTGCTAGTGGTGGGTGGTGTGGATGAGGTCCAGAGCCCAGTAGCTGCTGTAGAGGCCTTCCTGATGGATGAGGGCCGCTGGGAGCGTCGGGCCACCCTCCCTCAAGCAGCCATGGGGGTTGCAACTGTGGAGAGAGGTGAGTGGCGTCCCAAGGAAGGCACTTCAGGTACCCTAACACCTTTTATTATTTCCTGACTTAGTCCCTTACCCTCAGAGACTGAACAAGAGCTGTAATTTTTACATGGGTGCCCAGGATGTGGCCTCATCCCCTGTATCCTTTCCAGCCTAGCTTTGAGCTAGGCTTTCAGCAGCCTTCTATTAACTGCCTTTTCTGGCTAAGGTGGGAGGCAGAGCCCAAGCCAATCAATCCCAGGATGATGGGAGACCCTAGCCATGTTCTTGCCCCACTCCTCATTTCTAAGAGATGGGGGTGGGATGGCCTAATGACTCCCAGGGTTATAAATAGTCTGGGATTGGGGAGAGGAGTAGGGCCTCCGCTCAGAGCCTGTGCTTAGACTTCCTGCCCCACCCCCAACCCTTCCCACACACCAGAAAGCCTGATATGGACAAAGGCCAAATGACCTGGGATGGTTCCCATGGAAGCCCCCAGCTGACTGGCCCATTACCCCAAGGCCCCCAGACATATCATAGCTGACTCTGAGGGTTTAACAGAGGGTGAGAGCCTACTCTAATGAAAGAGTGTCACACACAGGTGCTGGCAGGGATCCTGGGGCAGAAGGCTTGTGGACAGTATCTTTACCCAGCAGACCGAAGCCATTCCTCTCCCAGCCCCATCTCCAACTCCAGTTGGTCCCCAATCCCCCTCCCCAGACTGAGCTCTGTGCTAAGCAGATCGATCCCCATGTTTCTCACCCCGGCTTAAGCCATCCCCCCATGTTCCTCCCCGAGGGGAGTCCCTACCTTCTGGCCTCCAAGTCTGACCACCAGCCCAGGCCAGCCCTGCTTGGATGCCAGACTCTGTTGCCATAGCATCTCCAGGGAGACAGAGTCGGATTATAATTAGATCAGCTGCCTCCTGCTCTTTACTCAGAGGGGCCCTGGCCAGAGTAGGAATCCTAGCTCTCCCAGCCCCCACTGCAGGCAGGTAGTAGAGTGTCTGTTCCTGGCGAGGGATGCCATAAACACATGGGTCTCCAGCCACCCCCAGGCCTTACCAGGGCAGCTGTCAGGGTGGGGTACCCTGGCAGGCTGGGGTACAATCTGAACTACTCTTTTCTATGCAGATGGTATGGTGTATGCTCTGGGGGGAATGGGCCCTGACACGGCCCCCCAGGCCCAGGTATGTGTGTATGAGCCCCGTCGGGACTGCTGGCTTTCGCTACCCTCCATGCCCACACCCTGCTATGGGGCCTCCACCTTCCTGCATGGGAACAAGATCTATGTCCTGGGTAAGGGCCTGGGGGATGTGGGAAAGGGGCTCAGAGTTTAGAAATCCTCATCCTCATAGGTTGACTGGGATAGGGATCGAGCTCAGTCCAGGATGGCAGAACAAAATAAGCTTTGTTGGGGTGATCCATGCCTGCTCTGAGGCTTTGACCCCTGGTGGTCTTGCTGTGGTTGGAAAACCAAACCCCAGTATCTGAGGGACTGTGGGGTGGATGATTCATGTGCAAGTGTGCACACAGCAGGATGTGGGAGGCTGAGGCAGGCAGATCAGCAACCTAGTGAGTAAGGAGCACACCAAGCCTCCTGGGCTCCTTCCCAGGTACCCCAATTCTATTGACAGGGGGCCGCCAGGGCAAGCTCCCGGTGACTGCTTTTGAAGCCTTTGATCTGGAGGCCCGTACATGGACCCGGCATCCAAGCCTACCCAGCCGTCGGGCCTTTGCTGGCTGCGCCATGGCTGAAGGCAGCGTCTTTAGCCTGGGTGGCCTGCAGCAGCCTGGGCCCCACAACTTCTACTCTCGCCCACACTTTGTCAACACTGTGGAGATGTTTGACCTGGAGCATGGTGAGCAGTGGCTGTCCTGGGCTGTCCTGGCACTCTCTGTGGGATGGAGGGGCATAGTGCATACGTCACTAGATCTGACCTCCCCTCTCCTGCAGGGTCCTGGACCAAACTGCCCCGCAGCCTGCGCATGAGGGATAAGAGGGCAGACTTTGTGGTTGGGTCCCTTGGGGGCCACATTGTGGCCATTGGGGGCCTTGGTAAGTCTCTATGGGGCTGGGGAGAGGAGGGAGTTCCAAGACAGGCAAGAGTAGCCCCCAGCATGTGTGCCACCTTCTGCCCATCTCCAGGCACACCAGGGGTCAGGGCTTTGTGAGCTCTTTTCCCTATCTGTGAAGCAGGCAGGATGTGGTCTCCCTGGCCCAGCACTCAGGGTGTTCCTCAGTGACTGGGGGCTCTGTCAAGCACCAGCAAGGGTCTACGAGACAGCAGCAGGAGAAATGACCACTGTATGCACAGTCAAGAGGACATATAGAAACATGAATGAATGAACAAATGATGAACACAGGCAATGAAGAGCAAGGCACTGATAGCTCATCCTAGGGTGATACCTACTGGGCTATTCTCTGGGCTCAGGGAGCAGAAGGGCCTGGAGTCCCTACAGCCTGTGCCTCTCACAGCCTTCTCTCTCCTTCTTGCAGGAAACCAGCCATGTCCTTTGGGCTCTGTGGAGAGCTTTAGCCTTGCAAGGAGGCGCTGGGAGGCATTGCCAGCCATGCCCACTGCCCGCTGCTCCTGCTCTAGTCTGCAGGCTGGGCCCCGGCTGTTTGTTATTGGGGGTGTGGCCCAGGGCCCCAGTCAAGCCGTGGAGGCACTGTGTCTGCGTGATGGGGTCTGAAGGCCTGGTGGGAGCTGTCCACTGGAGCAGCTCATTGCCAGAGGCAGCTATTTCTATGGCTCCTTTTGCTGCTGAGGACACTCACTGTGGCTCTGTGGGATGAGAGAGGCACAGGGGTGAGCACTTGAGACACTGCCTTGGGGCCTTGGGTTAGGGGAGCCTTTGCCTTTAGTGCAGGACACACATATGCTTACACCTACCTTTATCACCATTCTTTCATGAATCATGCCTAGCTCCATCCTTGCCCTGGGACCTACTAGGCCTTCCATCCAACTGGGAAATGGGGAGAAGGAAAGCTGGCCTCATGTTCTTCAGGATCAGTTCCTATCTGGAGTTGACCAGGCCCACCCCAGTTGCCATTCCTGAAAAATCCCAGATGCCAGGCTGCCTTTAGGGTCCCTGTAGACCCAGGAGAGTTGAGAGGGTGGGGGACACAGAGAGAATAGAGAGGATGTGGGACCTGCCAGAGGGCCAGAGCGCAGGAGTTCAAGCAGAGGAATGCTGGCTTTGGGCCCTCTACACTGCTGGTTGTATGACCTTGGACAAGTCACTTCACCTCTCTGTGCCTCAGCATCCTCATCTATAAATGGGGATCTCTGAAACCTTCCTACCCTACCTACCTCACAGGGCTGTTGTGAGGACCCAGGGAGTTTGGATGTGGAAGTAAAAGTGCTGCTAAAACCTAGTGTGTGGACCCTGGTGTGAACTCCCTTGTTGCTTCCACTGCCCCTGCCTTCCTTTGGGGGTCTCAATGCTCCTAGGGATGAGGGTCCAGAAGGAGCCTCTTGGATCTGGTCAGTGTTCCCAAAGTGATTTGGTATTTCTGTTCCATCTAAGCCAGAGCTTATTCTTTGGCAACATGTGATGACAGCACCTCCTTACTGTCATGGGGATTAGAGAGCACTAGGACAGTAAGGAAGGGCTGTCACATGTCACCAAAGGATGGTGGGATAGGATGACCAGAGAAGTGCTCAGAAAACAACAACAAAATACCACAGGGTTAGGAAGACCTCCAGATCCAAGTTACAGAGTGTCTCCTTAGGGTCTCTGCTCACCCCCACAGGGAGGGGTGGTTCAGTGGGTTTTGTGGCCCAGGGCAGTCTCCTTCTGCGTCAGCTGTGGGGCAGCCGTCTCTTGGACAGGACTGTGTGGCCATCCAACAAACCCCTCAAAGGCAGCTGCCTCCTGAGAAAGCTGCTAACTCTTCCTTCTTCCAGCCTTTGTTGCCTGCTAGTACAGGTCTCTGGGGTCTGCTTTCCCCATAGCTACACTGAATACTTGGCCTGCTTCCCCAGTGATGCCTTTCATTCTAGGGTGAAGCACCTAGAAAGTCAGCAGCCCACAGGATATTTGCACATTGTCTGGCAAGCTGGCAGAGGAGACCAACACAGAGACGTCTCTGTTTGGGGGAATAGGCTGTTTCCCAGAAGAGAAAGGTTGTGGGGAAGATAGTCACTCTGCTGCCTTCATAAGGAGCCCTCCCTCAGTGTCACCCCCTCCACCCTACCACCTGCTCTGTCCTGACTTCAACTTAGGCTGGGGACTGCCCTCTAATCTTCCTCTCTACAGCTGGGTTTGCTACAAGAACAGAGTAGTACTTGGGACCCTGGAACCCACCTGCTGTGGCTATGGCAACCCTCCTGGACTCTTAGCCTCCCCTTTCTCACTTAGTGGCAGGGATCCCAGAGCAGCACCTCCCATGCCCAGCACACAAACACCATGGGCACAAGTGCCATGGAAGACAGGCACAGGACCTGGCAGCCCATTACTACCTTTCATCCTCTTGGGCTGCATCCCATTGTGGGCTGCAAGCACAGAGAGGCTGCTGTGTCAGCTGTCCTTGTTTAATGCTCTGGACCAGTTTAGACACTCAGAGACCCCAGCATGAAGGTAGTGCTGCAGCAGCTTGGGTCTTGGGATCACTGGGAGGTCAGGCAGTATGTCTGTGACTGGCGCCTGGGGCCCTACCTTGTAACTGCCACAGTGGCCACCCCGGGATGGGTAGCAGAAGTTCTGCTGGTAGGTGGTCCTGGCATGGGAAGGCTGGACCTGCACAAAGTGGACGAGGCGCTGGGGGAGGCCACTGAGTCCTGGGCCTGGTCGGAAATCAGCCTGGTAAGAAGATTCCAGGGGCCCTTGCTGGCGCAACTCTATCTCACAGGGTGCCCAGCGCAGGAAGGTGTGCCGCTGCCACAGGCGCTCCAGGTCCTTCCGCCTTCCAATTCCCTGCAGCAGGCAGTAGGGGCCCTCCTCAACGGTACGGGCCATTGGCCCATATTCCTGGCACCAAGCACCTTCTTGGACCCCTCCTAACCCCAAGTCTGCTTGGTGATGCCTGTCCTAGGCCAGGCTGTCTTGGCCTGTACCCTGGCCTCCTTGGCCTGTCTCCCCAGTGATGTCTTTCATTCTTTTTTTTTTTTTTTTTTTTTTTTTTTTGAGACGGAGTCTTGCTCTGTCGCCCAGGCTGGAGTGCAGTGGCGCGATCTCGGCTCACTGCAAGCTCCGCCTCCCGGGTTCACGCCATTCTCCTGCCTCAGCCTCCCGAGTAGCTGGGACTACAGGCGCCCACAACCGCGCCCGGCTAATTTTTTGTATTTTTAGTAGAGACGGGGTTTCACCGTGGTCTCGATCTCCTGACCTTGTGATCCGCCCGCCTCGGCCTCCCAAAGTGCTGGGATTACAGGCGTGAGCCACCGCGCCCGGCTGTGATGTCTTTCATTCTAAGGTGAAGCACCCAGAAAGTTAGTGGCCCACAGGATACTTGCACATTGTCTGGCAAGCTGGCAGAGGAAACCAACATAGAGATGTCTCTGTTTGGGGGAATAGGCTGTTTCCCAGAGGAAAAAGTTTGTGGGGGAAGATAGCCACTCCTCTGCCTTCATAAGGAGCCCTCCCCCAGTGTCATCCCCTCCACCCTACCACCTGCTCTGTCCAGACTTCAACTTAGGCTGGGGGACTGCTTGCCATTCTTCCTCTCTTCGGCACTCACTTTGTCAAAGGAAGTACGGTTGTCATGCTTGGAGAAGAAGTGTTGCTGCGCCGGCTCCTTGAAAGATAGTGAGAAAGAAAGTGAATAGGGAAAATGATGCTTATTTACCCGCCCTTACCCGGATCACTGCCTCAGGGTCCCTAATGGAGGGAAGTCACCAGGAGCCACTGCCCCTAAGCTGCTAAACTGCCAACAGACAGAGGACAGAGACTAATTAAAGCAACACTTCAGTCCTGGGATATCTCAACCTGGGACTTTCCCTGAAGCAGAAGACCGTGGAACCCTTATTGAGGAGGGTCCTCAATAAGGAGGCATCTGCTAGGACATCCTCCCATCAGGGGAGCAGTGGCTGAGTTTCAAGCTGGGCCTTAACTCTGATTGCCCAGCACTTGAGTCCTCTCCTCCCCTGCATCCACACTTACTCCCCCATCAACATACCCAGACTCTTGGCCCTAAATGCCATCTGAAAACTGGAATTTCTATCTCCAGCTCAAATTTTCTCCTGAACTCTGGGCTCAGTAGACAACTGCCTACTCCACATCTCCATGTAAATGCGCAATTGGGCATCTCCAAACATATGACTGAGCTTTGGGTCGTCCCAGACACACTCCACCTACAGCCTCCCCCAGCTCAGACTACGGCAGCCAGATCCTGTCAAACACCTTGAGTCCCCTAGATTCTCTTCTCTCATACCCCACATTGAATGTGCCAGTATCCTGTTGATACTGTGGTCAAAATGTGCCCAGGAACAGACCACGTCTCAGCATGCCCACTGTTTTCCCCGATCCAAGCCACATTCCTCTCTTGCCTGAATTTTTTTTTTTTTTTTTTTTTTTTTTTTTTTTGAGACAGAGTCTCGCTCTGTCCCCCAGGCTGGAGTGCAGTGGCACGATCTCGGCTCACTGCAAGCTCCGTCTCCTGGGTTCAGGCCATTCTCCCGCCTCAGCCTCCCGAGTAGCTGGGACTACAGGCGCCTGCCACCGCGCCTGGCTAATTTTTTGTAATTTTAGTAGAGACGGGGTTTCACCGTGGTCTCGATCTCCTGACCTTGTGATCCACCCAGCTCGGCCTCCCAAAGTGCTAGGATTACAGGCGTGAGCCACCGCACCCGGCCTCTTGCCTGAATTATTGCAAGAGCTTCCTGCCTGGTGTCCCTGCTTTCAAACTTGCCCCTCCAGTCTGTTGTCCACTTTGCAGCCAGCATAATTCTGTTAGTACATAAATGAGAGCACATCTCATTTGCTGAAAATTCACAACAGTTCCTCCTATTTGTGGTAGCCAAAGTCATCATAGTGGTCTGTGAGACCCACACGATATTGGTCCTTCTGCTACCTCCAGCCACACTGATTTCCCCACTGCTCCTCAGACATACCAGGTGCTCCCACTTAGGGCTTTGCACCACCTGTTCCTTCTCCTGGCCAGGTAATTCCCTCACACCTCCTTCTTCCTTCCTTGAGCACTAGGCCAATGGTTCCATCACTCTAACTGTGCATTTTTCACCTGCTAACATACTATATTATTCTATATGATGTTCCCCCCACCGATGAGAACATCGCATGCCCCACCATTAGAACATAAGCTTCTTGTGGGCAAAGGTAGTCTGTCTTGCTCATATCTATAACTCCAGCACTGCTCAATAAATGTTGCTGTTAAATCAATAAACAGGCTAGGCATGGTGGCTCACACCTGTAATCCCAGCACTTTGGGAGGCCGAGGCAGGTGAATCACCTGAGGTCAGAAGTTTGAGACCAGCCTGGCCAACATACTGAAACCCCGTTTCTACTAAAAATACAAAAATTAGGCTGGGTGTGGTGGCTTACGCCTGTAATCCCAGCACTTTGGGAGGCTGAGGCGGGCAGATCACTTGAGGTTGGAGTTCAAGACCGACCTGGCCAACATGGTGAAACCCCGTCTCTACTAAAACACACAAAAAAATTAGCTGGGTGTGGTGATGTCTGGCTGTAATCCCAGCTACTCAGGAGGCTGAAGCGGGATAATTGTTTAAACCTGGGAGACAGAGTTTGCAGCGAGCTGAGATCGTGCCATTGCACTCCAGCCTGGGCGACAGGAAAAAAAAAAAAAAAATTAATGAACAGGGACAGAAGGTCCTGGCCCAAGGGAATTTACTTTGGCTCAGTTGGAGCTAGAGCCTTGCTCCACTCCCAGGCAGAGAAAGACCATCTTTTAGGCCTGCAGGCTTCAGCAGGAATCTGTCCCAAGACCACCTTCTTGCCTTTGTGACTGGCTTCTGCCCTCAGAGCCATACCCAGCCACTCAGTTTCTCCTGCTGTAGACCTGAAGTGGCCAGATCTGGTGAGGTCAGGCTTGGCTGGCTTGGGAGTATAGGTAATGGCGGACAGCAGGTCCCCAGATAAAATCCATTCTAGGCCGGGCGCGGTGGCTCAAGCCTGTAATCCCAGCACTTTGGGAGGCCGAGATGGGTGGATCACGAGGTCAGGAGATCGAGACCATCCTGGCTAACACAGTGAAACCCCGTCTCTACTAAAAAAATACAAAAAACTAGCCGGGCGAGGTGGCGGGCGCCTGTAGTCCCAGCTACTCGGGAGGCTGAGGCAGGAGAATGGCCTAAACCCGGGAGGCGGAGCTTGCAGTGAGCTGAGATCCGGCCACTGCACTCCAGCCTGGGTGACAGAGCAAGACTCCGTCTCAAAAAAAAAAAAAAAAAAAAAAAAATCCATTCTAGATCCCTGAGCCAGAATCTTCAGGGTAGAATTTATTGTATATGTATTTAAGAGTTCCCTTTTTAGAACCGCCTGCCTTAGACAGTCCGATGGTAGTCTTCAAGCAGAATGAAAACTCCAAGAAGGTGGGAAGCTTTCATTCCTCAACATGCAAGCTGAGGCTGGGCACAATGGCTCACGCCTATAATCCCAGCAGTTTGGGCGGCAGAGGCAGGTAGATCACTTGAGGCCAAGAGTTCGAGACCAGCCTGGCCGCATGGTGAAACCTCGTCTCTACTAAAAATACAAAAATTAGCTGGGTGTGGCGGCGGGTGCCTGTGATCCTAGCTACCTGGGAGGCCGAGGCAGGAGAATTGCTTGAACTTGGGTGGCAGAGGTTGCAGTGAGCTGAAATCTCGCCACTGCACTCCAGCCTTGGCAACAGAGAGAGACTCTGTCTCCAAAAAAAAAAAAAGCAAGCTGAGGCCGAGTGCAGTGGCTCACACCCATAATCCCAGGACTTTGAGAGGCCAAGGAGGAAGGATTGCTTGAGCCCAGGAGTTCAAGACCAGCCCGGGCAGCATGGCAAGGCTCCCAGATACTGTCTCTACAAAAAAATAAAAAAAACGCCAGGCGTGGTGTTGCATACCTGTGGTCCCAGCAACTAATAAGGCTGAAGTGGAAGGATCACGTGAGCTTAAGAGGTCAAGGGTGCAGCCAGGCGCAGTGGCTCATGCCTGTAATCCCAGCACTTCGGGAGGCTGAGGCGGGTGGATCACGAGGTCAGGAGATTGAGACCATCCTGGCTAACACAGTGAAACCCCGTCTCTACTAAAAAATAGAAAAAATTAGCTGGGCGTGGTGGCGGGCACCTGTAGTCCCAGCTACTCGGGAGGCTGAGGCAGGAGAATGGTGTGAACCTGGGAGGTGGAGCTTGCAGTGAGCCAAGATTGAGCCACTGCACTCCAGCCTGGGTGACAGAGCGAGACTCTGTCTCAAAAAAAAAAAAAAAAAAAAGAGATCAAGAGTGCAATGAGCCATGATCGTGCCACTGCAAACCAAGCTACAGACTGGGAGAAAATATTTATAAACCATATATCTAACAGAGGACTAGAAAATATAAGGAACCCTCTCAACTCAACAGTAAAATCACAGTCTAATTAGAAAATTGGCAAACATGAAGACATCTAACCAAAGAAGATATGCAGATGACAAATAACACATGAAAAGATATTTATCATTAAACATCAGGGAAATGCAAATTAAAACCACAACAAAATATCACTACACATCTATCAGAATGGCTCCAGTTGAAAATAGAGACAACACCAGGTATTGGTGAGAATGCAGAGAAACCAGATCATTCATGCATTGCTGGTGGGAATATAAAATGATAAAGCCACTCTCGAAAACAGTTTGGCAGTTTCTTTTAAAAACTAAACATGTAGAGTAGTCCAGGTCGAAAATGGCGGCAGTTGGTGTGTCCTGGGTTTCTTGGCTGCTGGGTCAGTCCAGCCCACAGCTGGGGTGGCCTATGTTGAGTGGTGCCCATGGTGAAGAGGAATCAGCTCGCATGTGGAAGACCCTCACCTTCTTCGTCGCGCTCCCCGGGGTGGCAGTCAGCATGCTGAATGTGTACCTGAAGTCACACCACGGAGAGCACGAGAGACCCGAGTTCATCGCCTACCCTCATCTCCGCATCAGGACCAAGCTGTTTCCCTGGGGAGATGGTAACCATACTCTATTCCATAACCCTCATGTGAATCCACTTCCAACTGGCTACGAAGATGAATAAAGAGAATCTGGACCACTACCTGGGCACCAGGGACCACAGCACTGGTTTGGACCATTACTCTGCACATGGATCAGAAAAAGTATACGGGACCTTAAGCTCATCTTCTTGTATCAAATGACGACTGGTATACTGGTCTTCCATCCCTTTGCTTGTGGCAGGGGATGGCTTAAATAAATAACTTAAACTTAAAAACAAACAAACAAACAGACAAAAACTAAACATGTGGCTGGGAGTGGTGGCTCATGCCTGTAATCCCAGCACTTTGGGAGGCCAAGGTAGGTGAATCACGAGGTCAGGAGTTCAAGACCAGCCTGGCCAAGATGGTGAAACCCCGTCTCCACTAAAAAATACAGAAAAAAAAAATTAGCCAGGCGTGGTGGCAGCCTCCTGTAATCCCAGCTACTCGGGAGGCTGAGGCAGGAGAATTGCTTGAACCTGGGAGGCGGAGGTTGCAGTGAGCCAAGATGGTGCCACTGCACTACAGCCTGTGTTACAGAGTGAGACTCCATCTCAAAAAACAAACAAACAAAACAACAACAACAACAACAACAAAAATACTAAACATGCAGCCAGCCTCGGTGGCTCATATTTGTAATTCCAGCATTTTGGTAGGCTGAGGTGGGTGGATTATCTGAGGTCAGGAGTTCAAGACCAGCCTGGCCAACATGGTGAAACCCTGTCTCTACTAAAAATACAAAAATTAGCCACGCGTGGTGGCACACACCTGTAATCCTAGCTACTCAGGAGGCTGAGGCAGGAGAACTGCTTGAGCCCGGGAGGCGGAGGTTGCAGTGAGCTGCGATTGTGCCATTGCACTCCAGCCTGGCCGACAGAGCGAGACTCTGTCTCAAAACAAAATAAAACAAAACAAAACAAAACAATAACACTAAACATGCAACTACTACGTGACCCAGCAATTGTATTCCTGGGCATTTATCCCAGAGAGACAAAAACTTATGTTCAACCAAAAATTTATACACAAATATTCTTAAAAGCTTTACTTGTATGAGCCAAAAACTGGAATCAGGTCAGATATCCTTTAACAGATGAATGATTAAACAAACTGGTAAGTTGGTACCAAGGAATACTACTCAGTAATGAAAATAAATGTACTATTGATAAACACAATAATTTGGATGAATCTCTTTTTTTTTTTTTTTTGAGACGGAGTCTTGCTCTGTCCCCCTGGCTGGAGGGCAGTGGCACTATCTCGGCTCACTGCAAGCTTCGCCTCCCGGGATCATGCCATTCTCCTGCCTCAGCCACCTGAGTAGCTGGGACTACAGGCGCCCGCCACCGCGCCCGGCTAATTTTTTTGTATTTTTAGTAGAGACGGGGTTTCACCGTGTTAGCCAGGATGGTCTCAATCTCCTGACCTTGTGATCTGCCCGCCTCGGGCCCCCAAAGTGCTGGGATTACAAGTGTGAGCCACCGCATCTGGCCTAATTTGGATGAATCTCTAGGAAATTATGCTGCAAAAATAGTGTCCAAAGAGTGCGTATTGTATTATTCTATTTACGTAACTGTTTTTGAGACAGGGTCTCACTTTGTTGCCAGGCTGGAGTGTGGTGACACAATCATGGCTCACTTCAGCCTTGACCTCCGGGGATCAAGCAATCCTTCTACCTCAGCCTCCCGAGTAGCTGGTACCACAGGTGCATGCCACCATGCCTGGTTAATTGTTTAACTGTTTTTCAGAGATGAGTTCTCATTATGTTGCCCAGGCTGATCTTGAACTCTTGGGCTCAAGCAATCCTCCTGCCTTGGCCTCCCAAAAGTGCTGGGATTAGAGGCATGAGCCACTGTGCCCAGCTTTATATAACATTTTAATTTAATTTTATTTTTGCCGGGCGTGGTGGCTCAAGCCTGTATCCCAGCACTTTGGGAGGCCGAGACGGGCGGATCACGAGGTCAAGAGATCGAGACCATCCTGGCTAACACGGTGAAACCCCGTCTCTACTAAAAATACAAAAAACTAGCCGGGCGAGGTGGTGGGCGCCTGTAGTCCCAGCTACTCGGGAGGCTGAGGCAGGAGAATGGCGTGAACCCGGGAGGCAGAGCTTGCAGTGAGCCGAGATCACACCACTGCACTCCAGCCTGGGCGACAGGCGAGACTCCGTCTCAAAAAATAAAATAAAATAAAATAATTATTTTTTTGAGACAGAGTCTCACTGTGTCGCCCAGGCTAGAGTGCAGTGGCTTGATTTTGGCTTGCCGCAACCTCCACCTCCCAGGTTCAAGAGCTTCTTATGCCTCAGCCTCCCAAGTAGCTGGGATGACAGGCATGTGCCACGACACAGACTAATTTTTGTATTTTTACCAGAGACGGAGTTTCACCATATTGCCCTGGTTGGTCTCAAACTCCTGACCTCCAGCAGTCTGCTGCCTTGGCTTCCCAAAGTGTTTGGATTACAGGCATGACCCACCGCAACTGGCCTATGCAATTTTTTTTTTTTTTTTGATGGAGTCTTGCTCTGTCACTTGGGCTGGAGTGCAGTGGCGTGATCTTGGCACACCACAACCTCCGCCTCCCAGTTCAAGCGATTCTCCTGTCTCAGCTTCCCGAGTAGCTGTGATTACAGGCGTGAGCCACCAAACTCAGCTAAATTTTTTTTTTTTTTTTTGAGACGGAGTCTCGCTCTTTCGCCCAGGCTGGAGTGCAGTGGCGCGATCTCGGCTCACTGCAAGCTCCGCCTCCTGGGTTCACGCCATTCTCCTGCCTCAGCCTCCCGAGTAGCTGGGACTACAGGCGCCTGCCACCAAGCCCAGCTAATTTTTTTGTGTTTTTAGTAGAGATGGGGTTTCACCGTGTTAGCCAAGATGGTCTCGATCTCCTGACCTCATGATCCGCCCACCTCGGCCTCCCAAAGTGCTGGGATTACAGGCGTGAGCCACCGCGCCCGGCCTAATTTTTTGTATTTTTAGTAGAGATAAGGTTTCACCATGTTGGCCAGGCTGGTCTCGAACTCCTGGCCTTAAGCGATCCACCCACCTTGGCCTCCCAAAGTGCTGGGATTACAGAGGTGAGCCACTGCACCCTGTCTGTAACATTTTTAAGTGACAAAATTTTAGAAATGGGAGATTGATTTAGAAATGGGGGCCGGGCGCGGTGGCTCACGCCTGTAATCCCAGCACTTTGGGAGGCTGAGACGGGTGGATCACGAGGTCAGGAGATCGAGACCATCCTGGCTAACACAATGAAACCCTGTGTCTACTAAAAAATACAAAAAAAAAAAAAAAAAAAAAAAAAGCCAGGCGTGGTGGCGGGTGCCTGTAGTCCCAGCTACTCGGGAGGCTGAGGCAGGAGAATGGCATGAACCCAGGAGGCTGCGCTTGCAGTGAGCCAAGATAGCGCCACTGCACTCCAGCCTGGGTGAAAGAGTGAGACTCCATCTTAAAAAAAAAAAAAGAAGTGGGGGCCGGGCACAGTGGTTCACGCCTGTAACTTTGTGGGGCCAAGGCAGGTTGATCACCTGAGGTCAGGAGTTCAAGACCAGCCTGACCAACATGGAAAAACCCCGTCTCTCCTAAAAATACAAAATTACCCGGGTGTGGTGGTGCATACCTGTAATCCCAGCTACTCAGGAGGTTGAGGCAGGAGAATCGCTTGAACCCGGGAGGCAGAGGTTGCAATGAGCCGAGATCATGACACTGCACTCCAGCTTAGGTGACAGAACAACACTGTCTTAAAGAAAAAAAAAAGGCCGGGCGCGGTGGCTCACGCCTGTAATCCCAGCACTTTGGGAGGCCGAGACGGGTGGATCACGAGGTCAGGAGATCGAGACCATCCTGGCTAACCCGGTGAAACCCCGTCTCTACTAAAAAATATAAAAAAACTAGCCGGGCGAGGTGGCAGGCGCCTGTAGTCCCAGCTACTCCGGAGGCTGAGGCAGGAGAATGGCGTGAACCCGGGAGGCGGAGCTTGCAGTGAGCTGAGATCCGGCCACTGCACTCCAGCCTGGGTGACAGAGCGAGACTCCGTCTCAAAAAAATAAAAAATAAAAAATAAAAAATTACATAGACCAGGCGGGGTTACTCACACCAGTAATCCTGACAGTTTGGGAAGCTGAGGCAGGCAGATCACCCTAGGTCAGGAGGTTGAGACCAACCAGGGCAATATGGTAAGACCCCGTCTCTACTAAAAATACAAAAAAATTAGCTGGACACAGTGGTGGGCACCTGTAATCCCAGCTACTCGGGAGGCTGAGGCGGGAGATTTGCTTGAACCCGGGAGGCAGAAGTTTCAGTGAGCCGAGATCACACCATTGCACTCCAGCCCCGGCAACAAGAGCGAAACTTGAAAAAAAACAAAAACAAAAACAGAGCAGCACCAGGGATCCCTTGTGATGTTGGTCTACCACCACAGTCAACTGTGGTGTTAGATACACAAAACTACATTGGCGATAACATTTTAAAGCTCTTTTTTTTTTTTTTCGAGACAGTGTGTCATATTGTTGCCCGGGCTGGAGTACAGTGGCTCGATCTCAGTCCACTGCAACCTCTGCCTCCTGGGTTCAAGCTGTTCTCCTGCCTCAGCCTCCCAAGTAGCTTGGATTACAGGTGCCTGCCACCATGCCCTGCCAATTTTTTGTGTTTTTAGTAGAGATAGGGTTTCACTATGTTGGCCAGTCTCAAACTCCTGGCCTCATGATCCGCCCACCTGAACCTCCCAAAGTGCTGGGCGCCCAGCTAAAATTTTATAGCTCTTTTTGTTTGTTTGTTTGTTTTTTCTTTTTTTGAGACAGAGTTTTGCTGTTGTTGTCCAGGCTGGAGTACAATGGAGCAATCTTGGCTCACCACAATCTCTGCCTCCTGGGTTCAAGTGATTCTCCTGCCTCAGCCTCCCAAGTAGCTGGGATTACAGGTCTGTGCCACCACCCCCGCTAATTCTGTATTTTTAGTAGAAATGGGGTTTCACCATGTTGGTCAGGGTGGTCTTGAACTCCTGACCTCAGGTGATCTGCCCACCTTGGCCTCCCAAAGTGCTGGGATTACAGGTGTGAGCCACCGCGCCCGGCAAATTTTATAGCTCTTTTTTTTTTTTTTTTTTTTTTTGAGATGGAGTCTCGCTCTATCATCCAATCTGGAGTGCAGTGTCGCCATCTTGGCTCACTGCAAGCTCCGCCTCACTCCATTCTCCTGCCTCAGCCTCCTTAGTAGCTGGGACTACCGGTGCCCGCCACCATGCCTGGCTAATTTTTTTTTTTTTTTTAGTAGAGACGGGGTTTCACCATGTTAGCCAGGATGGTCTTGATCTCCTAACCTTGTGATCCGCCCGCCTTGGCCTCCCAAATGCTGGGATTACAGGCGTGAGCCACCGCGCCCTGCCCATAGCCACTGTGCCCAGCCTATAGCTCTTAATACACACACACACACACACACTCACACACACACACATACAAGTAAAACTAGGGAAATTTGAATGAACCTTAGTGCTTATATCAATCAATGTCAATGTCCTGGTTGTGATATTATACCATAGCTTTGCAAGATGTTACCATTGAAGGTAACCAGGCAAAGTGTAGAAGAAATCTCTATTATTTTTTACAACTGCTTATGAATTGATAATTATTTCAATGAAAGTTTCAATTAAAATCTAGGAGTCTGGGGCAAGTTTCAATTGACCCCCAAATTTCTCCCGTGTCTATCCTCAGCTACCAAATTGCACTTAGCCCTAGAATGTATATGTCTTTCCTGTCGGAGGCACCTCTGACTGGAAATTCACTATTCCTATAGTGGCAGGATAATTTATTGACACCCAGTGAGTTTTGTTCTCTCAAAACTGTGGGAGCTTGGTGAGAAGCACAATCATTTCCTCTCTACCCAGGCAATTCTGGGTATTCTTGCCCTGCAAAGAATGATCACTAGCATCTTTGTTTCTTAATCATTCAAGGCTCCTTTTCCATCGAGGTGGTAAAATCCATGGTTTCTGAACAGGTAGAGCTAGGATTGGGATTCCATCTTAAGAAGCCTTGGAAGAGAAGTGGGTTTCCTTGGAAGGGGCAGTATTTGCATGTGGTAGGGCTAAGGGCCCCTGTGCGGGCTGGGCAGTCTGCACTAAGAGAGGAGGCTCCTTGGTAAACTGAGGGATGGGATGGCAGCAGGGGCCTAGCAATCATGGCACTGTAGGTGAAGAAACTGCACCCAACCAGACAGAACTCTTGTCCAACCTGAGGAACTAAGAGGACCAGAATTATATTTCCCAAGAATCAGGCAGTTGAAGGCTGGAAAGAGATTAATCTGCTTTAGAAGAAAAAATGAAAAAAAAGAAAAAATAATTTTCTTGCATCTGTATGTCATGGACAAAAATTTTACAAACCAAAGGAGAGTGGATGCTACATCTTAGAAAGGCTTTAAACAATAGCTAGAATCTGCCTGTAATCTCAGCACTTTGGGAGGCCGAGGCAGGCAGATCACAAGGTCAGGAGATTGAGACCATCCTGGCTAATACTGTGAAACCCGTCTCTACTAAAAATACAAAAAAAATTAGCCAGGCATGGTGGTGGGTACCTGTAGTCCCCGCTACTTGGGAGGCTGAGGCAGGAGAATGGCGTGAACCTGGGAGGCAGAGCTTGCAGTGAGGAGAGATCGAGCCACTGCACTCCAGACTGGGCGACAGAGTGAGACTCTGTCTCAAAAAAAAGAAAAAAACGATAGCTAGAATCTGCCAGCTGAAACCTGGTACCTCTCAGTCAATGCAAAATGAAAATGTGCAACTTCTCTGAGCAGTCCTATTAATTAAAACAACTTTAGACCTAGGAAGAACCATGATATTTGACATTTATATAACCTGAATCCAAGACACAGATTACGCTACTTGGGGCTGCTGCTAATGCTAGTAAATTTTTTGTGTAGAAAATCCTTACATTGATCTGCAGCCAAAACATGTCCCTTACATGTCTGTTTCTGAGTAATGAGGTTTTTTTTGTTGTTTTTTTTTGAGATGGAGTCTCGCTCTGTCGCCCAGGCTGGAGTGCAGTGGCCAGATCTCAGCTCACTGCAAGCTCCGCTTCCCGGGTTTACGCCATTCTCCTGCCTCAGCCTCCCGAGTAGCTGGGACTACAGGCGCCCACCACCTCGCCTGGCTAGTTTTTTGTATTTTTTTAGTAGAGATGGGGTTTCACCGTGTTAGCCAGGATGGTCTCGATCTCCTGACCTCATGATCCGCCCGTCTCGGCCTCCCAAAGTGCTGGGATTATAGGCTTGAGCCACCGCGCCCGGCCTCTGAGGAATGAGTTTACCAGATTGATAGGATGTTCCAATCTCTGGGAGGAGAGCTGCCACTGAGGGCAATGACAAACATACAACAGGAAGTCTCTGGGTTGCTTTTCTTTCTGTACTTCCCACATCCCATCAGTCTCAAAAGGGAGGTAGCCCTGGATTGACAGTCTGGAGCTGCATCTGGGCCTGGCTTGGTAGGCTGTAGCAGGCAGCCCTTGCAAGTGCATATGCTGAGGAAGTTCAGTTTCCATAAAATAGCAGCCTCCAGGACCCTAGTCTCAGCCTGGGAAAGCAATTCATAGAAAATCCAGATGGCAGATCAAATAGGACCTGGCAAAAGCCTGGGAAGCAAGAAGGTGCAGTGGGTGGTACCTGTTTCAGGCACCCCTTCACGTCCTTCTGGGCCTTCTTCTACCCAGCTGTTGCTCTGGAGGCCGACCTGACTGCACTCAACACTACACTCCCTTTGTTCTGGCCACCAGGGAGCCCTGGGAGGAGATGGAGGAAAAGAGAGAGGAAGTGTTTCTTCTCTTGGCTCCCTCCTAGGCACTTCTCACCTGGTTATGTCTCTCTACCTAGGATTACTGCTCCTGTCAGGGTGACCCTTTCCATACCTTTATCTCCTTCTCGATTCTAGAAGTCATGCCTCCCCCTTGTCCCTTTTGCTCAGTAGTACTAACCACTTGGTTGCTACCAGCCTGTGGGACTGCCTTTATCTGAGGCTGTCACAAGCAATCCTTTGTAAACATAACCTTCTGAGTTCTGCTGAGTATGCTTTTTACTATTATGACTCTGATTTTTTAATTTTATTTCATTTTTTCAGACCGAGTCTCACTCTGTCACCCAGGCTGGAGTGTGGTGGTGCCATCTTGGTTCATTGCAACTTCTGCCTCCTGGGTTCAAGCAATTCTCTCTACCTCAGCCTCCTGAGTAGCTGGGATTACAGGTGTGCACCACCATGCCCGGTTTAATTTTGTTTTTTTTTGAGACGGAGTTTTGCTCTTGTTGCCCAGGCTGGAATGCAATGGCACTATCTGATCTTGGCTCACTACAACCTCCACCTCCTGGGTTCAAGCCAGCCTCCTGCCTCAGCCTCCTGAGTAGCTGGGATTACAGGCATGTGCCACCAAGCCAGGCTAATTCTGTATTTTTAGTAGAGATGGGGTTTCTCCATATTGGTCAAGCTGGTCTTGAACTATCAACCTCAGGTGATCCACCCCAGTGCTGGGATTACAGGCGTGAGCTACTGTGCCTGGCCTATTTTTTTTTTTTTTTTTTTTTTGTATTTTTAGTAAAGATGGAGTTTCACCATGTTGGCCAGACTGGTTTCGAGCTCTTGACCTCAAGTGATCCATCTGCCTTGGCCTCCCGAAGTGTTAGGATTACACGCATGAGCCACCTTGCCCAGCCATGACCCTGATTTATGATACACGGTGCTCCTTCCTTGTCTCCAGGCCTGTAAGTAGTAAAGGGCCTATGGCCCTGTATCCCTTTCCTGTTCTCCAGAAGCCTGTTATAGCCACTCCAGGCTACCTGTGCCATCACTCCTTTCCAGTATTCCCTGGCCAAATGTGTAGGCCAGTACCCAGCTGCCTTCTGTACTACTTCCCTGACCAGAGGAGGCCTCCTACTAATTTCCAAGGCCCTGGACTGTGAAGCTGGCTGTGGGATGGACCATGGGCTTTCTTAGCATTAAGGAATCTGAATGTGAAGATAGTTGTCAGCAAAACTCAAAGCTTACTTCCTGGGTTCTAGAGGCTGTCTGCCTGTAGCTACCCACCCCAGCTAGGCCCTTACCCTTTGTCCATCTAGAAAGGGCAGTGAGCAAGACGGTTCAGTTTGGCACTCACTCTTTTCTACCCTGTCTGTAGGGGAAAGATCTGACATCTCAGAGAAGAAAGGTAAAGCTCGTCCCAGGGATAGGTGTCAATACAGCCATGGAAGGGATGGGATGATGCTCTTGGGTTCTGGGAGAGGCAAGAACTGGTCCAGTCACCCCCACTGCCTTCAGGTCTGCCTTGTACCTGACATCGCTGCAGGAACACTGCTGGAGGCTGGGGCTTGGCTGCAAGGCGGTATTCTCTAGCACTTTCACTCTTGAATTGGCTTCTGTAGTGCCCATAGAAGCCATTGTTGTGCTATAACAAGACAGGAATGAGGATAACTCACTCAAATCTCGACCATGAGTCCTAGACCTCAGGTCCCCAACTGAGGGTTCCAGGAAAGCCAGACCAGAAGCCCCTTCTGGAAGTTCCTGACAGAATAGAAAGAATCTAAGGAGTTAGGACACTCCTGGAGATGGGCCAGTATAGAAGTGTCTTCATCCATCATTGGGACAGTTGAACTCAGCTGTAATGACCCACTTGGGCTATGCATGTGTAGGGAAGGAGTGCCATTCATTCAGAGGAGAGAGTTGTGGGCAGGGCCACTGATCAGGGGTGTGGTCCTTCCCTAAAGAGCCGGAGAAGAAATCCCCTTTGTTGTTCTCCCCACAGTTTTTTTTTTTTTTTTTTTTTTTTTGAGACAGAGCCTTGCTTTGTTGCCCAGGCTGGAGTACAGTGGCACAACCTCAGCTCACGGCAACCTCTGACTCCCAGGTTCAAGGCATTCTCTTGCCTCAGCCTCCCAAGTACGTGGGACTACAGGCGCCCACTACCATGCCAGGCTGATTTTTTTTTTTTTTTGAGACGGAGTCTTGCTGTGTCACCAGGCTGGAGTGCAGTGGTGTGATCTCAGTTCACTGCAACCTCTGCCTCCCTGGTTCAATCAATTCTCCTGCTTCAGCCTCCCGAGTAGCTGGGATTACAGGTGCCCACCACCACACTTGGCTAATTTTTGTATTTTTAGTAGAGACAGAGTTTCACCATGTTGGCCAGGCTGGTCTCGAACTCCTGACCTCGTGATCTGCCCACCTTGGCCTCCCAAAGTGCTGGGATTACAGGCATGAGCCACCACGCCTGGCCTGGAGGGGATTTCAGAGAGAGGAACTGTCAGGAGACAGAAATAAGCAACTATCAGAGGTTCAAGAATGGGGCTGTACTGTGCTGCTGTCATTACGTGGACACTCTGTGGATGATCATGTCTGGGAACTCCTATGGCCCAGCCTCTTTGTCCTAAGTTCTCCCTGGAGTGGATGGGTGTGTCTGGCCCTCTACAATTATAACCCTGAGCAGAAGAACCCGTCCTAAGCCTGCCCTCTGGCCATGACAATGGGCTATTTAACAGGACTAGAAAGCCTCATATCTTTCCATCCAAAGACATGGATCACTTTGTCTGTCTATCCTTCTCTGTCAGAAACCCCTCACTCTCTATTCAGGTTAGTTCAACAGTATTTATCGAAACTTTATTGTCTTCCAGGCATGGGGCTGAGCACGGGAAATACAGATGGACAAAAACACAGTATTTGCCCTCAAAATGTTCCCAGACTAGAGAGCAGCCAAACTCCAAAAGTTTGAGTGGCTCAAACAATTAACTAGGAATAAATGGGGTGGCTAGAGGACTAGGAGTTTCCACTAGCTTGCAGGAGACCATGATGCATGGAAGGGGGCAAAGTGTTAGGAAGACTAGGCAGCCTCCAGGGGTGACCTCAAGATGGTGGAGAGGAAGTGGGAAGCTCAGGGTCCTATTCCAGGTTAGATGCCAGATGAAAACCTCTTCACTTCACTGTCATGACTCAGTCAGATTTTGGGTACAATCAGAGGGCCGGGGCCAGGATTAACATAAAGTGCACTCTTACCCAGGAGCCTACTAACGCACTTTGCATCTTTCCAAGAAGGGAGCAGAAAAGGCAAACTTCCCTCTTGTCTTTTTTGGAGGATGTCTTCAGGAAAGAGAATCTCTGGAGGTCAATTCTTTTGTTGCTTAGTGACAAGGGAAGGTTGTGACTGCATAATGCTGCTGCTGTTTGTTGAGGTAGCACATGGCCTGTTGCCCCTTTGTCCTTGCTGCCCGAGTTCTTCTCTATGAGAAAAACCTGCCCCTTGGCATTAACAGCCTGAAAGAGCCCTTATGTATAGAAACACACAGGGCTCCATGGTAGAGTCTAATGGATTCGCAGCCAATGAAATATTCAAAGAACATTTTAAATGGGGGCAAATCCTGCATTTAAAAACCTATGCATTCATACTGCCAGGAATATAAATTTAGAAAGCATTCCATGGAGTCAGAAGAAATGTTAAAGAGTTTGGTGGCTTTTAGGATAAAATTACTGCTTCAGAATAGGCTTTGCCAATTTATCTCTTAGGAGTTTGTGGTGACTGGGAATGCTAATCATGACAGGTGAATGTTTCAAGGGCCGAGTAAAAGAATAGAGTATAACAGAAGAACAGAGAAGGAACTTGCAAAGATTTGACATTATGGTTCCATTCTGAGCTACCCTTGGACAAATTATTGACTGAATTCTCTCTTATTTGTAAAAGAGGGACTTAAACAGTTCACCCCCTTTAGTAACCATGGTGGCTCATGCCTGTAATCCCAGCACTTTGGGAGGCTGAGGTGGGCGAATTGCTTGAGCCCAGGAGTTAAAGATCAGCCTGGGCAACATGGTGAAATCCCATCTCTACAAAAAATACAAAAATTAGCCAGACGTGGTGATGCGCACCTGTGGTCTCAACTATTCAGGAGGCTGAGGTGGGAGGATTGCTTGACCCCAGGAGGGCGAGGCAGCAGTGAGCCATGACTGTGCTACTGCATTCCAGCCTGAGAGACAGAATGAGACCCTGTCTCAAATAAATAAATAAATAATACAAATATACAAAACAATGCTATGATTTATGGATACAAACATATGAACTGGCTGGGTGTGGTGGGTCACTCCTGTTATCCTAGCACTTGGGGAGGCCAAGGCGGGCAGGTTGCTTGAGTACATGAGTTCAAGACCAGCCTGGTTGATATGAGACCCTGTCTCTATTTTTACATAAATAATTTTTAAAATATAATAATTAAAAATAAAAAGCATGGGCTGGCTGCAGTGGCTCACGCCGGTAATCCTAGAACTTTGGGAGGCCAAAGTGGGCAGATAACCTGAGGTCAGGAGTTCAAGACCAGTCTGGCCAAGATGGTGAAACCCCGTCTCTACTAAAGATACAAAAAAAATTAGCTGGGCATGGTGGCATGCACCTGTAATCCCAGCACTTTTGGAAGCCAAGGCGGGTGAATCACAAGGTCAGGAGATCAAGACCATCCTGGCTAACACGGTGAAACCCCATCTCTACTAAAAATACAAAAATTAGCTAGACGTGGTGGCACACACCTGTAGTTCCAGCTATTCGGGAGGCTGAGGCAGGAGAATCGCTTGAACCCGGAAGGCGGAGGTTGCAGTGAGCCGAGATCATGCCATTCCACTCCAGCCTAAGCGACAGAGCAAAACTCCATCTCAAAAAAAAAAAAAAAAAAAAAAGCATGCATAAGAATGATGGGAAACAAATATAGGATATAAATCGACTGGCGGCCGGGTGCAGTGGTTCACACCTGTAATCCCAGCACTTTGAGAGGCCGAGGCGGGCGGATAACAAGTTCAGGAGATCAAGACCATCCTGGCTAACACGGTGAAACCCCGTTTCTGCTAAAAATACAATAAGAAATTAGCTGGGTGTGGTAGCGGGCACCTGTAGTCCCAGCTCCTCAGGAGGCTAAGGCAGGAGAATGGCAGGAAAAGAAAAGGAATCACCTGGGGAGGGGAGCAAGGGGAACGGTATCAGGGAGGACAGAATGGAGCTTGAACTCTGTCTGTAAAGCTTTTACTTTTTTTTTTTTTTTGAGACAGAGTCTCGCTCTGTCACCCAGGCTGGAGTCCAGTGGCCGGATCTCAGCTCACTGCAAGCTCCGCCTCCCGGGTCTACCCCATTCTCCTGCCTCAGCCTCCCGAGTAGCTGGGACTACAGGCACCCGCCACCTTGCCCGGCTAGTTTTTTTGTAGTTTTTAGTAGAGACGGGGTTTCACTGTGTTAGCCAGGATGGTCTCGATCTCCTGACCTTGTGATCCGCCCGTCTCGGCCTCCCAAAGTGCTGGGATTACAGGCTTGAGCCACCGCGCCCGGCCTTTTTTTTTTTTTTTTTTGAGACGGAGTCTCGCTCTGTCGCCCAGGCTGGAGTGCAGTGGCATGGTCTCAGCTCACTGGACTCCACCTCAGGTTCACGGCATTCTCCTGCCTCAGCCTCCCGAGCAGCTGGGACTACAGGCGCCCGCCACCATGCCTGGCTAATTTTGGTATTTTTAGTAGAGATGGGGTTTCACCGTGTTAGCCAGGATGGTCTCAATCTCCTGACCTTGTGATTCACCTGCCTCGGTCTCCCAAAGTGCTGGGATTACAGGCGTGAGCCACCGCGCCCGGCCTTTTTTTTATTTTTTATTTTTATTTTTTTTTTGAGACAGAATCTCACTCTGTCATCCAGGCTGGAGAGCAACGGCGCGATCTAGTCTCACTGCAACCTCTGCCTCCTCCTGGGTTCAAGCCATTCTCCTGTCTCAGCCTCCCAAGTAGCTGGGACTACAGGTGTCCACCACCACACCCGGCTTTTTTTTTTTTTTTTTTTTTGAGACGGAGTCTCGCTCTGCCGCCCAGGCTGGAGTGCAGTGGCCGGATCTCAGCTCACTGCAAGCTCCGCCTCCTGGGTTCACGCCATTCTCCTGCCTCAGCCTCCCGAGGAGCTGGGACTACAGGCGCCCGCCACCGCGCCCGGCTAGTTTTTTGTATTTTTTTTTTAGTAGAGACGGGGTTTCACCGTGTTAGCCAGGATGGTCTCGATCTCCTGACCTCGTGATCCGCCCGCCTCAGCCTCCCAAAGTGCTGGGATTACAGGCTTGAGCCACCGCGCCCGGCCTTTTTTTTTTTTTTTTTGAGGTGAAGTCTTGCTCTGTCGCCCAGGCTGGAGTGCAATGGCATGATCTCTGCTCACTGCAACCTCCGCCTCCTGGGTTCAAGTGATTCTCGTACCTCAGCCTCCCAAGTAGCTGGGATTACAGCCGTGCGCCACCACACCTGGCTAATGCCTCGTATTCTTTTTTTTTTTTTTTTTTTTTTTTGAGATGGAGTCTCGCTTTGTCTCCCGGGCTGGAGTGCGGTGGCGAGATCTCGGCTTACTGCAACCTCCGCGTCCCGGGTTCAAGCGATCCTCCTGGGGTTCACTCCATTCTCCTGCCTCAGCCTCCTGAGTCGCTGGGACTACAGGCGCCCACCACCATGCCCGGCTAATTTTTTGTATTTTCAGTGGAGACGGGATTTCACCGTGTTAGCCAGGATGGTCTCCATCTCTCTCCTGACCTCATGATCCGCCCGCCTCGGCCTCCCAGAGTGCTGGGATTACAGGCGTGAGCCACTGCGCCTGGCCACGTTTTTACTTTTTTTTTTTTTTGAGAGGGAGTCTCGCTCTTTTGCCCAGGCTGGAGTGCAGTGGCACGATCTCGGCTCACTGCAACCTCAGCCTCCCAGGTTCAAAAGATGCTGTACTAGCGTCTTCAAGGAGAGCTTTAGGGAGATGGGATTTCCATCCTCGGGGAATTTAAAAGCCTATACAGGTAGCATGGAGATAAATACAGCCTCGGCAACGAGAGTGAAACTCCGTCTCAAAAAAAAAAAAAAAAAAAAAGAAGAAGATAGTAAATACGTCCATCACCCCAAGTTTCCTTCTGCCTAGTCGCAGTCTTTCCTTATGGCACTCATTTGCCTCAGGCAACGCCACACCTCTGCTTTCTGTCACTATAGATTAATTTGCATTTTCTCGAATTTTATGTAAATGGGATCCTACAGTGTGTGTTCTTTTGTGTTTGGCCTTCACTCAACATAATTATTTTGAAATTTATTCATGTTGTTGTATCCATTGTTCATTCCTTTTTATTGCTTAGTAGTTTTCCATTGTATGGATATGCCAAATCTCTCCTCCTGATTTTTTGAATCCAAACACAAATCAGGTTTTTATTGTCACTATATCACTGTAACTGCTCCTACCAAGGTCACCCAACGTTAATTCTAACCAGTCTTTGTCTTTCCTGAACACATCCGCAGCATTTGTCATAGCTGATCTCTGCCTCGTCTTTGAAGCAGTTCCAGGTGCCTTCCAGAATGCCTCATTCTCATGGTATTCTTTCCCCGTCTCCCGACCAGGCTTGCTCCAACTCCTTGGCTGCTTTTCCTTCATCTCCAAAGGCCTCTAAACTGGTGTGTCCTGGGGCTCAATCCAATCTCTTTTCCATTTATACTCCATTGGTGATCGCATCCTGTTTTTTGAGACAGGGTCTCATTCTGTCGCCCAGGCTGGAGTGTAGTGGCGCGATCTCGGCTCACTGCAGCCTCTACCTCCCGGGTTCAAGCGATCCTCCCGCTTCAGCCTCTGAGTAGCTGGGACCATAGGCACGTGTCACCACACCGGACTAATTTTTTTGTAGAGCTGGGGTTTCGCCATGCTGCCCAGACTGGTCTCAAGCATGTTTTTTGCTTTCAAAGTCATCTAATAAGCACCAGAGGCAGAGTTTCATAGATCCTTCCTGCCTACCCCCACTGTCCCTGCCCTCAGGCCACTCCAGCATCCGGCGGGCCAGGAACCTCAGACGATTTCTTGCCTCTTTTCTGTCTCCTCCAGGGGCCCCGTTCCATGTCCCCATCTGCCCACAGCGCCTCTCGTCCCAGCTGCTCCTCCTGTCCTGCCCTTGCTCAGACCACCCGAGCATCATCCGTGCTCTGGCCCCTGGCCACCAGGTCCACCCCACATGCTGTCCTCACAGGTGGCGCCTCGCCATTCTTGGGGACCAGGGCCTCCTTGTTCTGGTCATACACAATGGGGTGTAGATCGAGCGACAAGTGAGCAGGTCTGCACGCCAGGTGGGCCGAGGGTGGCCATTCCGGTGTCAGTGTGGGGGTGTGAGGGAACGTTGCATGGGGTGCATGTGGACTGGGTGTGGCATGCGGCGGTGTGGCACCAGGCAGGTGGCTTGGCGGGGCCCACGATCAGCGCATTTGAGACCATTAGGACGGTTAAAACCGTTAACTGCCTGTCGCGGCGAGGGCGGGGCCCCGGGGAAGGGACGGAATCCCAGTTGGTCGAGACACCGGGGGCGGGGCCGCGCGTGCTGCCATTAGGACAGTTAAAACCGTTAGCTGCCTGTCGTGGCGGGGCGGGGCCCTGGGACGGGACGGAATCCCTATTGGTCAGAAGAGGACCTGGGGGCGGGGCCGCGCGTTTTGTGGCAGCTGCAGCTGGACGCGGCCACCTCGAAGCCACGTCAGGGCAGCCCCAGGTCGGGCGCGCGCCAGCAGCAAGAGGTGGGGACAGGAGGGGTTTGGGTAGGGTGGGCTGGGGGAAGGCGGGGGGAGGGGCTGAGAAGCCGGATGGGGCCGTGGGTCTGGGTTCAGGATTCCAGGGGTCCTCCCGGGCTTTCCCGGGACGTTGGTCTTATAGTCCCTCCCCTGCCGTTTCTTTCCGAATGGCGATGGCAGCTCTGGCTCTTGAAGGAGGCTTCACTTCCGCGCTTATCTT